GACCATTTGTACATCTAATTAAGCCCTAGAAAGAGCCCTGCTAAGGCACCTGTCTCTGGTCTGGTTAATCAGGCCCAGCTGACCTCTCTGAGCTCCTGTTTCTTTACTCCTAAGGGAGGAGACTGATATCCTCTGAGGTCCCTTCTGATTTTACTTTATGGGTCAAGAAACGAAAATTACAGAGATTCTTTGGAAATGTATCAGCAAGGCCACTGCTTTGTTTTCAGGTCCCTGGAGTATACGGGGTGAGGTGGGGAGAAATTAGTAATTACAGACTGGAAAAAAAATGTGTCTTAGACGCAGCATTTGTCCTCTAGGGACCCAGAGTCCAGGAAAACCCAGGGAGGATGTAGAATCCCAAAGGACTTGGGTTAAACCTGAGAATGACAAACTCATATATTCAGATCCTGCTGTGATCATAATGTAGTTTTGTGTCTCTCTTTCATCGTGAGCGTATAGCTAAATAGTCAGAGGGGGGAAGAAAGGGGAAAGGGAATGAAAGGACAATGGACAGAGAGGGGAGGGAGAAGGCTAACAGGAGAGGTAGGAGCCACTGGTCTCTGGATATAAACACCAGACTGAGTTTGGTTAATTTATGCCCCTCTCCTTCTGTGATGGTTAATCTTGATTGCCAACTTGCTGGAATTTAGAATCACCATGGAAACAAATCGCAGGGCAAGTCTGCGAGGGAGTTTCTATATTCGGTTAAATGAGGTGGGAAGACTCACCCTAAATGTGGGCAGCACTGTTCTGTGCATTGATCCTGGACTGGATGAAAAGAAGACAGTGGCCGGAGCATCTGAATTCATGGCTCCGTTTCCTGACTGCAGATGTCATGTGACCTGCTGTCTCAAGCTTCTGCAACCAAACTTTCCCACTGTGGTGGACTGCACCCTAATCTGAGGGACAAAATAAATCATGTTTTCCTTAGGTCACTTTTGTTAGGCATCTTGCCACAGTGATGAAGAAAGTCGCGAATAAATCTTGGCTCCAAAATAAACAACACACTGGAAAGCTAAGTGCAATTCACAAGGGCAGCAGAATCAAGACTTGAGGATAACAGGACTGGGAATATAGCTCAGTGGTAGAGTTCTTATCTAGCGTGTATGAGGCCCTGGAATCGATTCCAGTACTCTGCCAAATGGGTGTTATTTTTATGTCATGGGGAACACAATACCCAACAGGAACAGCTCAGGGAGAAAAGATTTATCTTGGCTCACAGTTTCCGAGGGTTCAGTCCATGGTGTTGGGTGGGGACGGTGTGGTAAAGCAGCACAGTTCACTGCAGCAAGAACACTTAGTAGAGGATGCTCACATCACAGCAGACCAGAAAGCAAAGAGAGTGCAACAGGAACCACCGAGAGCCTCCTGTGATCTTCAAATCCCTCCCTTAGTGGCCCACTTCTGCCAGCCAGACCCACCTCCTAAAAGTCCCACAGCTTCTCAAGATATCAACATTACTGAGGAATGAGCTCTCAGAGCATCAGCCTATGGGGGGTTTTTCAAAAATATAATAGTAAGGTCCGGCCACTCCAGAAGTTGATTGGAATCTGATTAGTTTGGTTTTTGAAGATGAGTTTTAGACTAAACACTTATTTCAATTTTAGGATGTTAGCACTCAAAAAGAGAGCATATTTTTCATCTAATTCCAGACATTCTACATTGGAATTTCTAGGAACAAGATCTGTGAATTTACAGGAATCCTGGGTTCTATGGCTCCAAATGTTCTGTCTTGTCAAAAAGGACAGTATATTGTTCTATTGGTGGGGGAGTGGGCCACAAGAGTGAAGTGGCTGCATTGTGAATTCATGACAAGTATGATGAAGGCACAGCACTTGGTCTTAACAAATTAACTGACTCTGGTAGGGACAGGAAGAGCAAGGCAGGTGTGGGCTAATCAACAGCTATTCACACTGTGTGAATCAGCAGCTATACTGTGTAAACCAGCAGCTATTCACACTGTGTACATCAGCAGCTATTCACACTGTGTAAACCAGCAGCTATTCACACTGTGTACATCAGCAGCTATTCACACTGTGTGTATCAGCAGCTATTCACACTGTGTCCATTAGCAGCTATTCACACTGTGTAAACCAGCAGCTATTTACACTGTACATCTGCAGCTATTCACACTGTGTGTATCAGCAGCTATTCACACTGTGTACATCAGCAGCTATTCACACTGTGTACATCAGCAGCTATCACACTGTGTATATCAGCAGCTGTTCACACGGTGTACATCAGCAGCTATTCACACTGTGTACCTCAGCAGCTATTCACACTGTGTACATCAGCAGCTATTCACACTGTGTAAACCAGCAGCTGTTCACACGGTGTACATCAGCAGCTATTACACTGTGTGTATCAGCAGCTATTCACACTGTGTGTATCAGCAGCTATTCACACTATGTAAACCAGCAGCTATTCACACTGTATGAATCAGCAGCCATTCACACTGTGTACATCAACAGCTATTCACACTGTATACATCAGCAGCTATTCACACTGTGTGAATCAGCAGCCATTTTTACACTGTGTACATCAATAGCTATTCACACCATGTAAATCAGCAGCTATTCACACTGTGTAAATCAGCAGCTATTTTGTGCAAATCAGCAGCTATTCACACTGAGTAGAAGGAAGCCAAATCTGAGATTTCCCTTGAATACTAGCAACATCCCCCTTCCACCTGTTGTAGGATTTCACAGGTCGCTAAGCATTTCATCCATTATTGTTTCAGCTCTAACAATGAAGAGATAGAACCAAGTGCTGTTGTCCTACATCAGTGTCTTTTGTCTTTACAGATAAAACAAAAGCACCGACACACCAAGGGGAAATCACATGACGAGATACGAAATTAAAAACAAATGAAAAAGGAAGGCACAGTGGCTATGTTTATGTAACAGGACCCCAGACCTTAGCACAATTGATGCCACGTTAGAGGTACAATTCTCACCTCAAAAGCTGGGAGGTAGGCCCCACACCTGCCAAAATGGGAACCAAGACCTAATCCATCAAATCCACCGCGGTCCATGGTTCCAGGATCCAGGAAAGCCCCTAAATATACTAACCTTGTTTTTTGGCTTCTGTAGTTCTGCTTCTTGCTAACTGAAGTGTGCCAACCGAGCTGTGGTTGGTGCATAAAAACTAAGGAGCTGTGAGGATCCCAGTTGTGTGACATCGATAAGTTCCCCATATAGCTGCCAACCTGTAATAAAGACTTTCTTCCGGCTTTTAAAGCATTCTCTGGTGGACATAGTTTGTAACGTTCACAGTAGATTCGAATCCTTTGTCTATTAGGACTTGATCCTCAGCCTCTGTTATTAGCAAATAATGTTTCAAGTAACACAAAATATATGATTATTGTAAGAAAATTAAAACAATGCACGGAAATAAAACTTTGAATGTTGGAATATGTATCGCACCCTACCTAACTTGTCAGTGGTTTGTAATAAAACTTTGAATGTTGGAATGTGTATCCCACCCTACCTAACTTGTCAGTGGTTTGCCGGAATTTCTAGATTTCTCTATAAAGAAATTTCTTTTTGTAGCTTTGGAGCTCTTGTAGACCAGGCTGGCCTTAAACTCACAGAAATCTGCCTGCCTCTGTCTCCCGAGTGCTGGGATTTAAGGCGTGCGCCGCCACCACCACCGCCGCCGCCGCCTGGCTCCCGTAAAGAAATTTTTCTTCTCCCTCCCCCTCATCTTCTTTCCTTATCAAAGGACACACCCACCACTGTGGCTTCTTCTCCTTAAGTATATGGCTGTTTTACCTACTAACTCCTCATTCAGAGAGCTACCTCATTGTAATGAACTATGTTTGAAAACAGAATCATAACAACCTTCACAATACACTGATGATAGAAGAATATTATATTCAATCATTGCAGGGGTGAAAGAATGCAGCTGCTCAAGAACTGGGGACAGCTATGAACACATCTGATAGACACAAGGGTTTTGGAGCCAGAATAACAAACTACCTGAATACGGCCTTGAGAAAATTGTGGACCAGTTCCGGTTCAGTTTTCTTATCTATAAATGAGAATAATAGAGCTGGGTGTGATGGTACACACCTTTAATCAAGCACTCAAGAGCCAGGCGGTGGTGGCGCACACCTTTAATCCCAGCACTTGGGAGGCAGAGGCAGGTGGATCTCTGTGAGTTCGAGACCAGCCTGGTCTACAAGAGCTAGTTCCAGGACAGGCTCCAAAACCACAGAGAAACCCTGTCTCAAAAAACAAACAAACAAACAAACAAACAAGCACTCCAGAGAAGGATCTGTTAGTTCTAGGCCAGACAGGGATACACTGTGAGATCCTGTCTTAAAAAGAAACGAAAAGAAAAGAAAGAAAGAAAGAAAGAAAGAAAGGAGGGATGGAGGGAGAAGAGAAAAAGAAAAGCAAGAAAAAAGAAAGCAAGAAGAGAGAGAGAGAGAGAGAGAGAGAGAGAGAGAGAGAGAGAATCTCATGAGGTGCAGGTCTGTAGGAGGCGGAGACAGGAAAGTCATCCTCAGATACTGAGTTAATACCAGACAAGACTGAGATACAAGAGATCCTGTCTATGCTTCATAGGTTGTAGTAAGAATTAAGTGAGGTTCATCTCAACGATCATCACTGACCAATGAAGGCTCTAACAATACCGGTTCCTCTTTGGTCCAGGAGAGCAGAGACTCAGCGGCTGGATCTTAAATTACAAGGACAACACTATTAGAAAAGAGTATTTCAGGAAAATCTTTATTAATCAGTCTGGATGTCTGAGATGTCCACTGGCGATACCACTGACATTGAATGCCTAGCTTCACTGGCTGCCTTTACGCCGGACTGAACAACTCCCAGGCACCATACCTTACCCCGCCCTCAACGTCACACCTTCTCTAGTTCACCAGCCCGCCAATTGGCAGGCCTTCGGACCCAAACTACAAACCCCAGAAGGCCCCACACCAAATGTGTTATAAACCCCCGTTCATGACCGGCCTCTCTAGCCGTATTGGCTGCTGGGAAATGTAGTTCCACGGTGGCCGAGCCACTCATGGCCCGCGGTCCGCCCCAACATGGGTGAACGGGCGGCGTTTTGAGTTTCAGTTCCTCTAACAGTCTAGTTAAAAGCGTAAACAGTCTATGTAGGGCTTTGGAGACGCTCCTGGGTGAGGGCTGTTCTGCAAAGGTGCCTCGCTTTCCGGGCCTCGCTAGGTAAGAAAGCGGGCTGGGAAGGAGGCAGCGGCCTTGGAGGCGGACGAGACCAAATGCGGCTAGAGGAGGGAGCTTGGGAAGGATCCAAGTTAAAGGCAAAGTGGGGCGGGAGGTCCGCTCCTCTCAGGGCTCGGGAGGTGCCCCAGAAAGGAAGTGAAGCCCAGGTCCCCACAAAGAGGGATGTCTACGTTGGGGGGTGGGGGTGCATTTGTGGTTTGTGGCTTATTAATGCGACCTCTCATCCCTCTGGGGTGGTCAGTCAACATACCAGACCTTGGCAGTTAGGTAGATCACCCTAGCACAAGACAGAAAGTTTTAACTGCTTCTGGCTGGCAGGAGTGTAACATCTGTGAGAACAGATGTTTTAGGGGTGCTTTGTTTAAAGGGAGTATTAACAGAGAAGACAATCTTAAGCCCTCTAAAGTTTAGAGCCTAGACCCTCCTTTGACGACTCACAGTGCTACTGGAGTATTTCCTGTGCTTATAAACTTTATAAGGCTGTACCTGGCAGAGAATTGGGTGTTCTGGCCCCTGCTTCTAAAATACTGTAGAACTGGTCCAGCCAATAGGGTAAATTAAATCACAGTACAAAATAAAATAAAATGTATAGGATGACCCTACTTTGTAATGAATAGCTGTATTTTCCAAGTATGTGGCAAGAAAACTTCAAAACGCAGGGCGGAGGTGGTGCATGCCTTTAGCCTTTAATCTCAGCACTCGGGAGGCAGAGGCAGGTGGATCTCTGTGAGTTCGAGGCCAGCCTGGTCTACAAGAGCACGTTCTGGGACAGGCTTCAAAGCTACAGTGAAATCCTGCCTTGAAAAACCAAAAAAAAAAAAAAAACAAAACAAAAACAAAAAACACTTTAAAAAGGTGCCCTGAGTTAACATGGTAACATGTAGCAGGTGAGATGACAGTTGAACTCCACCCTTTACGTCTTCGTATTTGGTACAGTAACCACTGCTCCCTTCTCCCCCACTTCTCCCCTTTGTTTTTCCAAAAGTCACTTTGCCGGTACATTTTGGAAATCAGGCTGGAAGGCCTGCTGCTCTGGCTTGTGTTGGGCCCTGCAGGTTGCCATGCAGACGGGTAGTGAGGATCGGATACAAGGGGACAGTTGAGTGTGCACGTTCCTTTCCCCTCCTCCAGGCTGGAAACAAGCTGCTTGAGCAAGTGGCACGCCATGGTACGTCTAATCCATTGTCCTTTCTCGTTTAAAATGAAGTCTTTGTGCTTTCTAATGAAGCTAGGCTTCCCGGTAAAACTTCCTTGGGCTCTGCTAACTCACTTTGGCTAGGGAATGGGAGGGAGAAAAATACTCCAGCTGAAATACAATCAGTTTTGGATTCACTGTTTGCTTTTTCATCAGTATTATTATTTTAACATATGCTACTTACTGTGCGTGTGTGTGCGTGTGCGTGTGTGCGTGCGTGTGCATGTGCGTGCGTGTGCGCGTGTGCGTGTGCGTGCGTGTGCGTGCGTGTGTGTGCGTGTGTGCGTGTGTGTGCGTGTGTGTGCGTGTGTGTGTGTGCGCGTGTGTGTGTGTACGCACGCATGCACGTGCCTACACACTTTCATTTTAATTATAAAAGAAAACTCAGTTTGTCCTTTAGTTTTTTTCTAATACTAATACGTTCCCCGGGACAAAAGCTTGTCAGATCAGAGAGGAGCATAGTGAACACAGTGTTTACAGCAGTCTTTCCACCTTTCACAGCTTTTGCCAGCTGCTCAATTAAAAGGTGACATTCCTGCGTAAGCCTATTCATGTTAAAATGTCCTTGCTACTTACTGAGGAGCAGAAGAGAAAGATTGAAGAGAATCGACAAAAGGCCCTGGCCCGCCGAGCCGAGAAGTTATCAGAACAGCCTCAAGGCACAGCTTCAGGTTCCACTGTTTCCGGCCCTTTGGGGAATCTTCCAGCGGGGCCTTCTAAGCCAGTGGGCCATGGTGTCCTTTTCAAGCAACAGAATCTCAGTAATTCATTTCCTGCTGATCAGAGAGCTCACAGTTCCAACCATGTTCAGCCCAGCACACCAGAGCCGGCGAAGGGGCTATGGAAGATCCAGGGAGAGAGGCCTGCAGTGTGCGCAAACCCTGCCTCAGGTCCTCCAAACATCTCTGACCAGCAGCCTTCGGGTTATAAACCATATCAGGGTAATCCTCAGGCTTCTCATAAGGTCAAGTCGACATCCATTGCTACCACAACCCAGGAGCCTTTAGCTAAAGCACAGAGCTCCCAGGACACAGTAGCTTCCTCCTCTGGACTGTTTCCCAGGGATCCCGAGTTAGAGGCCAAGACCGTGAAGCCCTCCACCTCTGGACAGAGTGGTTCGGACACCTATTATGCCTTAGGGGGAACAGAAGGGAGACCCCCCAAAAAACTACAAACCTCGCCCCAGAAAGTAAGCTGTCTTCAGGGAACGTGCATAAGGATGGGGGATCGTTTTCAGGTGAAGATTGGCTACAACAAAGAGCTCATTGCTCTGTTCAAGTCTCTGCCCAGCAGACACTATGGTAACGAGGCTTTTTCTTTTTCCTATTTTTGGACTCTGTTCTAACAGTTTCTCATAAATATTAAGAGGGCACATTGGCACATTACATTTTTCTATTTTAGCCAGTGTTTCCCTTTGTGATAGACATTGTCTCACGCAGCCGTCAAATTCAGCTAGCGCAGGGTCGTAGAGAGAGCGTAATTTGCTGAGGAGGCTGTTCTTATGCCAGGTGTAGCGTATGTAGTATAGCATTGAAGCCTAAAAACAATAGTTTGAAATCCATAGATTTTTTTTCTTTCAGTTTTCTTTTGTTTGTTTTTTGTTTTGTTCTTCAAGACAGGGTTTCTCTGTGGCTTTGGAGTTTGTCCCGGAACTAGCTCTTGTAGACCAGGCTGGCCTCAAACTCACTGAGATCCGCCTGCCTCTGCCTCCCGAGGGCTGGGATTAAAGGTGTGCGCCACCACCGCCTGGCTTCCTTTCAATTTTTAAAGTGATGGACTAGCTCGGTAAAGTTGAGTAACACCTGAGGGGAGAGTTAGGGTGTGGCTAGCTCTGCTACTCCTCAGAGCACTGCTCCTACCATTGCCCAAACAAACGGCAGTTCAGAGGGGTTGGGTTCCAGTCCTGACTGCCTCAGCCCACTTAGTTCCTTGTCTTCCCTGGGCCTGAGGTTCCGTCTACACGAAGCAGAATTACCCGTATTTGTTATTTGTCTCATATAGAGATTTTTAAGTCTGTGAGAGCTTGCCCGTCAACAACTTTGAGTTTGGCCTCTATCTGTTCAGGAAATAAACTCTTACAGAATGTCCGAGTACAAATGGAAGCAAAAAGTGCTGAGCCTTCTGTTTATTTCAGATCCTGTTACGAAGACATGGGACTTCACCATGGCCGACTACAGAGCCCTGAGTAAGTGGGACATTAGTAAAGGCTAGCACCTGATGGTTCTGTGCACTGGGCTCTTCTCAGCCCGTAGCTACACCTGATGATGGTTCTGTGCACTGGGCTCTTCTCAGCCCGCAGCTGCACCTGATGGTTCTGTGCACTGGGCTCTTCTCAGCCCGCAGCTGCACCTGATGGTTCTGTGCACTGGGCTCTTCTCAGCCCGCAGCTGCACCTGATGGTTCTGTGCACTGGGCTCTTCTCAGTCCGCAGCTGCATCTGATGATGGTTCTGTGCACTGGGCTCTTCTCAGTCCGCAGCTGCACCTGATGATGGTTCTGTGCACTGGGCTCTTCTCAGCCCGCAGCTGCACCTGATGGTTCTGTGCACTGGGCTCTTCTCAGCCCGCAGCTGCACCTGATGGTTCTGTGCACTGGGCTCGTCTCAGCCCGCAGCTGCACCTGATGGTTCTGTGCACTGGGCTCTTCTCAGTCCGCAGCTGCATCTGATGATGGTTCTGTGCACTGGGCTCTTCTCAGTCTGCAGCTGCACTTGATGGTTCTGTGCACTGGGCTCTTCTCAGTCCGCAGCTGCACCTGATGATGGTTCTGTGCACTGGGCTCTTCTCAGTCCGCAGCTGCATCTGATGGTTCTGTGCATTGGGCTCTTCTCAGCCCGCAGCTGCATGGTGTCTCTTATCTCTCCTACCACCCACTTTACAAACAGGGAAATGATGTCTCTAGTGAGCAACTAATGCAGGGACACACAGCTAATTAGTTATGCAACTAGAATTCAAACCGGAGTGCCTGTTCCCCTTGGGCTGTGCCAGCTCCAGCAGTGACAGGCAGTTGTGTCAGGCCTTGCTCCTAAGGAGAAGATTGTTTAACCTCTGACACTGGTTAGTGAACCCCAAAATTCAGGAGCTCAGGCAGGTCCATCCTGTGGTGTCCAGTCACCACCAGCCCTAGGTGTCCCTCTGTCTTCTGTGTATGTCTTATATCAATATTTCTGTCCTCTTGTGGAATATTTAGCCAGGCAAAGATGTGTTCCATTTGGTTATGTTGCAGAGTATTACTGTAGCTATGCGTCGGAGTGTTACATTTGTTTCTGCTGCCCTTGTTAATGGTGTAAAGGTGTGCTACATTTATTTGTGCTGCACTTGCTTAACTATGTAAAGATGTGTTGCTTTTCACCTTGCCTGCCTGAGGGACTTGAACTGCCAGTCGCTGGGCAGCCAGGTGGGGCTGGCAGGCAGAGAGAAAAATAGAAGAGACTGAGAGAGAAGGAGGGAGGAAGAGAGGGAGATGCCCAGGGTCAGAAGCCAGGCAGCCACCAGTCAGCCAGACATGGAGGAAGCAGGAAAGTAAAATACACAGGATGAAAGAAAGGTAAAAAAGCACCGAGATAATCACTGCAGATAAAGAGAAATAGATTAAAGCAAGAGCTAAGATGATTCTGAGCATTCATAACTGGTGATGGGGAGCTGGTTGGTGACCCAAAAGAAAGCCCGGTACATGTCCCCTTGTCCTGCTGCCTCTTTCAAAGAAATTCCTGTGTCTCTTGTTTCCCATTCTCCCCTGGTTCTCAGCAGCCGTGTCCACACCCACTTCTATCTGCCCTTCAGGAGCTGAGGATCGATGTTCAGATTACTTCTCTAAGGATCTGGTATATGAAGAGAATTCTTTGGGTTCACCAGGACATTTTCTGGGTAGTGATGGGCCAATTTCTGTGGAATTTTCTCTTCTTTCCTTGGTCTCTTCTTTGTAAAACATGACTAGGTAATGTCCTGCTCTTTGCTAGGGCTGCTGTGGACTGGACCTTCACAGAAACGTGTTTGCTCGGTTCTGAGGAAAGGAGTCTGAGCTAAAGGTATAGGCAGGCTTGCTCATCCTTCCTGACTTTCTCCTTGACTTTTTGTTTGGTATGATTACTTTTAATACTGCTCCACCTATTTTTTTTAAGAGTGTTAGGCACAAAAGTCTCCTTGTGGCTTTTTAGATAAAGTTGACTGCAGTGTGTGAACCCTCTGGATACCCTGAAGTCCCTTGCAGTGGCTTTGGATTTGTAAATTGTATTTCTGTTTTTAAGTTTCACATAGGCTTATCACTTTAGTGTCTTTTTATACTTTTTATTTCAGATTATGTGTGTGTGTGTGTGTGTGTGTGTGTGTGTGTGTGTGTATAGTTTGTGTTTTTGTTTTTTCAAGACATTGTTTCTCTGTGTAACCCTTGTTGGCCTGGAACTCACTCTGCAGACCAGGCTGGCCTCGAAGTCCTAGAGATTCACCTGTTTCTGCCTCCCGGGTGCTGGGATTCAAGGTGTGCACCAACACCCCCAGCTTTTGTTTCCTTTTTTAAGTACTGAGGATTAAACTCAAAGCCGTGCACATAGTAAGCAACTACTCAACCACATCCTTGGCCCAGTTATTCTTCTTACACTTACCAATCTAAATGTGTCTATGGATACTTCATCCTGTGCTCCGCCCCCCTTTTCTTTTTCCTATAGTGTTGGGGATGGAATCCAGGACCTCAGCTGAGCTAGGTCAGCACTTCAGTATTGAGCTGTATCCCTAGCCTGGATCTTGCTTTTTTAACCCTGCCCACACTCAGCACACAGCACATTAATGTCCAGAGAAGGGTAATTGGCCCCCAGTCTCTGGACTCACCACTCTGGACTCACCCACCACTGACACTCAGATTCTGTACGTCTCCCACTTTTTCTGTCATTAAGTGAAACAGTGTTACATTTGTGGATCATCTGTAGCCTGCCTTTCTCATAAACGTTTTCACTTTAATGAAAGCTAGCAATTCTGGGTGATGAGTGTATGGCTGTCATCATTATAATGGACCACTGTGAGCCTCACAATATTTTGTACTATTGAACATAGTAAATTTTTTACTTTGTCTTTTCCAAAACTTCATACTGACAGGAAAAAATGATTGATTGCATAATGTTTTGTTGTATGAATATGACAGAGTTACCTAAGTCATTTTCTTGCTGTTTAATTTGTTTCCTGTTTCCTGGTTTTGCATCTGTAAGGAAGCCTTGTGTGTACAAGTTTATGTTTATATTTTCAGTTCCCGGAAGTAGAATCTCTTAAAACTCATGCCTATTTCACTAATTTTCCCAAAAGTTTTTTCTCAAGTAGTAATATAAATGTCTTTTTGCGTGTGTTTTTTTGTTTGTTTGTTTTATCTTGCAATGGTTTTTTCCTTCCTTTGATTGTTGGTAAAGTTGAACATTTCTGTTCTCGAGCCCCTCTCCCTTCTGTTTCTAGTGGGCTGCTTCTCCATGCTTTCCTTTTGTCCTCTTCCTACTTTTTAAGTTTTCTGCAAATGTCTTGTCTTAGCTAATTTGCCTTTTAAGTCAGTGTCGGTTTTTTATTTCTTTCTTTTCTTCTTTCTTTCTTTTGAGACCACAAAGCACATCAGCGATCTGTAGTAAACTAATGTGGAAAGTCGTGTGTCTGTGGCCTGTCAGTCCTGTTTCTCATCTTGTTCTCTAAGCAGTTGGTAGAGTCGTTCTGCCTAGGGTGCCAGGGCGCTCTGTGGTGTGTTAGCTCCAGCAGATTCTCCAGCCTACAGAGATTACTGACAGCGTCTGCCATCATCACAAGCTACACCCGTTTTTAATTCAGGATTTTAAGAAACAGAATTGCCTGCCCTGCCCTATCCTGCCCTCTGTCTTGCCCTTCTGAGTGTCCTGGGTAGGGTGACAGTCATCCAGTGTCATCCTCCTATTCACTTTGGTTCTTTCCTCCTCTTCACAGTGAAAGCGGCCGAGCAACTCTCCACGGTCTCCCTCCAGCCGTTGGAAGGGGTTGATGACAGTGGCAGGGGACAGACCAGCCTTCCCTCAGCTCCGTCCCTTGCCTTTGTCTCAGGGAAGTGCATACTCGTCTCCCGCACCCGCTTTGAGGTTGACATTGGCTATTCAGAGGAACTGATCGCACTGTTTAAACAGATGGATTCCAGGAATTACGGCAAGTGATTGACCTCTGCGAGATCCGCAGATCTGTCTTTGACTGTTCACACTGACCTTCCTGATAGAGAGATAGCTGTTTCTGCAGGGCAGTGACCCCTCAGTTGTCACAGAGAGAGAACTCGTAATGGCACCCACTTTATCTCTAAGTTTCCCAAAGAGAACATCCTACTGTTTTCTTAATTGCCTGGTCAGTGTTGTCTTGACCAATGTAAAGTGCATTGCTGCTTTGACTTTAAACCCGTTTGTTTCTATTTTAGCCTTAGCAGAACAGAAAAATAGCAGCTGCCCTACAAAGAAATGACTTCCTGTACCCTAAGACAGTGGTGTCAAATTTAGGCGTGCATGGAAACACGCCTAATAGGAGTTAGCGCTTTAGCTATGGATGGGGGTGGATGTGTTTCTAATAAGTTCCCTGGTGGTGGCTATGGTACCCACCTCAGGACCACCACGTCCATCATGAGAGCTTGCTGGAAGTTCATGAAGTTGGAAAGTGAACAAGTGAACATGTGCATCTTTCTCTCTTCTCATTGCAGATGTCAAGACCAGGAAGTGGAGCTTTCTTCTGGAGGAGCACAATAAACTCAGTAAGAAAAGCCACCTCTCTGCTTTTCATCACAGTCTTAACCTTTAGTAGAAGCCTTAGCTTTAAATCGCTCAGAAGGGAGGTTTCTCCTCCCTGCTGCCATAGCAGTGGTACCTTCATAAGCTTGAGGGCAGAGTAGCTGGCGAAAGACGTACTTGGCTTGCTCTCTTCAAGCCTGCCAGTCCCAGCAGCTTTCTGAAAACCGTTCGGACGCAGGGCTCTTGATCTGTAAGGGCAAGGTGGTACTGTTGAGATTCCCAGGGCCTGGAAGCTGTCCTGCCATCATAGACAGCTGAAGGGAAGGATACAGACTTGGGAACTCAGGAGAGTGCTGGGATGGAAGTGACTTTAGACAACCTCAGTTTACCTCCAGAACTGGATGACCAGAAGGTAGGAGAGAGTGGTGGTTTGTGGCTGCATCTCGCTTGCATCTGTCAGATGTGGAAGTCTGGACCTGATGTGAAGAATTTGAACAGGACTTAGAGACTGACCAAGGGCAGGGATGAGTGCTCAGCTACCATGACCACAAAAGGGAGCTGCCTGGTTGGCTTATCATTGGATTCTTCTTGTGTTCTTTCTTGTATTCTTGTGTTCTTCTCGGACGAACCTAAACCCTAATGTGCCAGGGAAAGGTGGTTGTGGTCATAGCCTGTTCTGGAACACTAGTGTCTAACTTAAGGCAGTAGTGAGTTTTCACAGTTGTTTCCCTCTTCTTGGTGCCCTGTGGACTTACTGGACCTTCCAGAGGATGGGAGGAGCTGTGTGTGGGTACCAGTCATAGCAGTGAGCTGGCCAGCCTCGGGAGTGTGGAGCCATTAGCTACCTGTTCCTCAGGCGAGGGCTTTGAGGAAGAGGGTGGAGCTGGGTTGCTTTCTGTGTTCCACATCTCCTGACTTACTGTGTACCATCAGGTATCAGGTGGATGGCTCACTGTTCTGTGTCCCACTTGCCCTCTTAGTAAGAAAGGACATCTCTTGGCTGGAGATCATAGAAGATTTGCCTTGCATACCTAAGGCCTGTGTGGTAGCATGTGCCTGTTATCCCAATATTCAGGAGGTGGAAGCAGGGGAAGCAAAAGTTCAAGGTCATCCTTGGCTACCTAGCAAGTTGAGGCTAGCCTGGGCTACATGAGACCCTATCTGAAAAAAAAATTTTTCTTGTTTTTTTAAAATTCATATCTGTCTCACTGGCAGACAAATGCAAAGGAATAACTAAGTACAAAAGAAAAACACTTTGCTCCTTGAGGAAGGCCTTGCTGTAACAGCAGGGTCAAGTTGAATAGGAGGTGGTATTTTAGTATCCATAAAATCTGGCTGACGCAATGAAACGGCCAGTGTGGATCTGAAGTTCTCTGGCAGCTGTTCGGAGCTTTTGACTCAAAGGAAACTGTTGGCTTAACCTGAATTTTTGATGAGAGACAGGAATTAGTTCTTTCCGTCGCTTCATTGTCTTCCTTGACCAAGAAAGACAAATATGTGAGCAATAAAATTCTCTGCCTTTTATGGGCCCACACCGCAGGATTCATGGCATTCGCAGGTGATACAGAGCTGGGAAACTGTCAGCCTTCCACAGTGCTTCCTAAGATTTTGTAGACTACCTTAGAATATCTGGTAGACTCAGTCAGTTCTTCTTACAGAAGATGCACATAATGGCACCTCTCGAGTTTGTGTTAGACATTAGTAATTGTCTAGGCCCTGAGTTGGCAATTTTTACATGCTCTTTCCTGGTTACATTATCCCAGTAAGGAAGCCTTTACTTGCCTTACTGGGGACATTTGGGAGTCACTGTAAATCAGGGGTGGCAGAAACAAGATTTAAACTCCTACTGCATTTGTAACCTGACCCAATAGGCAATCGTAACGCCAGCTCTGAGCACTGAGGCCAGAGTGGGCACTTTGAAAAGAGCCTGGTTCTCACCCTGGCTCGGTTTCCATTGGTGCTGCAGACCTGGGGAACTTGCACCGTACTTCTCACCTGAAGATCCCCTTCCTCATGTGTGAAGTCGGATTGTTGATGCCAGCCTAGTAGAACACGTGCTTGAGATGCTAATTAAGAAATGGCAGTGAGGCCTGAGTGTGTCATCAAGGACATGGCGAGAGTCATTTCCCCTAGGACAGTGACTCCGAGGTTTCTCTTCTTTCCAAGTGACTGGACGCCTTCTGCCCGCAGTGAAATTGGCATGAGGCCTTTTGTTTTCCCTGGCTGTCACAGTCCAGAAGGGTTCTCCATGATCTTGTCTTGTCAGCTGCTGTTTGGAAACACTAGCATCTCAGCTGTGTGGCTAGCGCTTCCTTCCAAAGAGCTTTTTGTAGAAATGACTTCTGTATGACTCATGAAGCCAGACAGCACATGCCTGTCATTCACCAGCACCGAGAAAGGACAATAGGCAGCAGCGATGAGGAAGGATGGCGTTCTCAGAAGTGCCCCGTGAGCTGAACTAGCAATACGGGGCTTTGGAAACAGAGCTGTGGGAGACAGTGGCGTAGGGTTCTTCCCCTCTGAATGGATGGAAAAAATGGGGTGCTTACAGAGGCCTTTGCCGCCAGCAGCTCTGCAGCTCCTGGCTGGCTTTCCCAGGTGTTTGGGTTCTAAAGAATGCTGGAATTATGGTGAAAACAGCTTCTGCCAAGTACACTGAGTGCTCAGTCTCCTGAAGTTTGTATAAATTAGCATATTCAGATTTAATTTAAGAGATAAAAAGATTTCTACATCAGTATAGAACAGCCTACTTTATTTTTTTAGCATTCATTTTTTATTGATTTTTATTGAGCTCTACATTTTTTCTCTGCTCTTCTCCCTGACTCTCCCCTCCTTTTCAACCCTCTCCCAAGGTCCCCATGCTCCCAATTTACTCAGGAGATCTTGTCTTTTTCTACTTCCCATTTAGATCAGATCCATGTAAGTCTCTCTTAGAGTCCTCATTGTTGTCTAGGTTCTCTGGGATTGTGATCTGTAGGCTGGTTTTCTTTGCTTTATGTTTAAAAACCACTCATGAGTGAGTACATATGATAATTGTCTTTCTGGATCTGGGTTACCTCACTCAAAATGATGTTTTCTAGTTTCATCCATTTGCCTGCAAAATTCAAGATGTTGTAAATTTTTTATGCTATGTAGTACTCCATTGTGTAAATGTACCACATTTTCCTTATCCATTCTTCAGTCGAGGGCATTTAGGTTGTTTCCAGGTTCTGGGAACAGCCTACTTTATATTAAAACTATCAGCCTTACCTAATTTCTATTGTTAATTCTGTTTATGGAAACTTTCTAGAAATAGCTGGTGTGTGTGTGTGCGTGCACATGCTGTGTCGTGTGTGGAAATCAGAAGGAAACCTCTGGAGTCCCCACTTTCTGTCTTTTTATTCAAGGTCTCTTTGTTGCTTTTCTGATGCATACATAAAAGTAGCTGGTCCAGGAACTCCTGGGGAACCTCCTGTGTTCACCTATCATCTCCCTGGAGGAACCTGGGATTGCAGACTCATGTTCTGGATCTGGCTTTTACGTGGGTTCTGTGGTGTGGGGTTTTATGTGGATGCCGTTGTCCATGTTGGGTGCCATTCTGTAACATGAGGACCTGCTTGTTGGGGTTTCTGTCCTGCCCGGTTCCCACAGTCGTTAGGTCCCAAAGAATCACACAGAAGGTCTACATAAGTTATAAAACTGATTGGCAGATTAGCTCAGACTTTGTATTAGCTCTTATAACTTATATTAACCCATTATTCTTTCTATGTTAGCCTTATGGCTCAGCACCTTTTTTAGTGGGACAGGTCACATCCTGCTTCTTTGGTGTCTGGACAGGACTGGGGGAAGGGCTTCCCTCTTTCCAGAATACTCCTGTTCTCATTGTCCCACCTCTACTTCCTGTCTGGTTTCTGCCTATACTTCTTTCCTGGCTACCGGCCAATCAACATTTATTTAAAACATGATTGACAGACTACAGACAATTCTCCCACACCAGTTCTTGGTATCCAAACTCTGGTTCTCACATTTGCATAGCAAGTTCTTTTACTAACTGAGCCTCCTCCTTCTTCTCTCCCCCACCACACACATATTCCCAGTGACAGACACTGTAGCTGCTTCACTATAGAGATGACAATATAAAGCCTTAAGAGGAGATAGTTATTTTCATGTGAATTTTCAAGATTAAAAGTCCATGTTTTTCTTGGTTTGTGGCCTGTGCGTGGACTCTGCTTTTTGGTAGTTTATTAGTAGTACTACTGTCTACCAGTCTAATTGGGAACCCCTAATGACTTCTCTCTGAAGAGCACAGTGTTTCTTCTGCCTGTTGACAGAAGGCGACTTAAGGGCTCTCTTCCCCCAAATGCTGAAGTCATCAGAACAAAAACAAGACTAGAACCATTCTATGGAGGACTTGCTTTTTTAGGATCTTTCTGGGGTGATTTTGAATGGCTATTATATATATTATATATTATTAATTATATATTATATATGAATAGGTATGAGCCTTTATGTATTTAAATGGAACTGTAAAGAAAGAAAATTAAAGACCAGCCTGGGCTACAAGAGCTAGTTCCAGGACAGGCTCCAAAGCCACAGAGAAACCCTGTCTCGAAAAACCAAAAAAAAAAAAAAAAAAAAAAAAACAAAGAAAGAAAGAAAGAAAATTAATTACTTTAGGTTGAAAAAAAACCCACAAACATCAGACGGTGCTTTTTATTATTGTATAGTCAGCCAAAGCGCTTTTGCATTACTGCATACCCTCTCATCTGTAGGTATTAAGGACTAGAGAAAGAGGACACTGGCTGTTGTCTGGTCCAGTGCTCAGCTAGCAGCATGGTCTGCAGTGAGCCCTCTTGAGAAAACAACATGTAGCAGAAGGCCTCTTGCTGAATTCTGTGTGCAAAGCCCTTTCTCTTTTTCCAGGTCTTTCGGACTTGGGCATTCTGGCTCACATACCTTCTTTATCTTTCCAGTTACAAAGTCACGTGATCTCCAGCAAGTTAAGCTGGAGCCTCTACCCAAGACAGTGACCCTGGCCTTTGCGTCTCAGCTGGAGAAGACATCTCTCAAAGCCAAAGCAGATATACCTGAAGCTGACCTTTCTGGAGTGGATGCCAAGCTTGTGTCTAATCTCATGCCCTTTCAGAGAGAGGGCGTTAGGTAGATTCCTGGTCTTCTTCTTGTTCTCTTGCTTGAATTCCATCACTTAGCACAGGTGGGGTTCAAATGCTTCTTTTATGAATACATACATGTATTCATTGCATCCATGTCTGGAAGCATCTAGATTAAATATTCAACATTAAGTATTAAACAGCCAGGTGTGTTATTACCAAAGCTTATTGTTACCATTGATTCCCAGTTCCATGAATCAACCAGGGCTTTGGATTGCAGGTGTAGAGAAACCTGGTTCTCACCAGCGGAAGGCAAGAGATTTCTCCCCAGAATTCTCTGCTCCAGCCTGCTCCCTGCTCAGCCAGGTGTTCTTTTCAGGCTCTTGTGGCTGGTGTTCCACAGTTGGGCAGCACAGACTAGTGCTGTTTCTGTGCTGCAGAGAGGGAGGAAGGCTGCTTCCTTTGGCAGCTGAGAAGATGAGGAAGTTTCCAGATAGGATACCTACTGGCCCATGTGCTGCTGGGCTTTGGTGTGTTGGTCTCTGGTCCCCAGAGAGCTGCTCGGTTTTTGCATCTTGGGAATCTTACCCAGAAGGCCAGGGGCAGCTGAAGAGTCTTATAGTGCCCACAGGTTACTGTGTAAGAAGGAAAGAAAAGACCTGTTCCGAAGCTCACTACTCGGTTTCTGAGCCAGCAATCAGTTTTTACAAATAAGATGAAAGAGGACTGGAGTTTGGAGCAGGGGACCAGATGTCTGATATGCAGAATCTTTGTAGTTTCTCAGTGATTCATCCTCAGCACGAACAAGTCATTTCACTGTTTCTGCTCTCGTTACTTCCTCCCTTCTGTGGGATGATGGTTGTAGCAGAACCCGTTCCTCAGTGTTTAGGACGGTGCCAGGGCTTTCTTCCTGTTTCTCCCGATGGTGGGTCAGGTCCTACTTACTCTGATTTCACTGCCACAGTTGGAGGCACAGCTACTGAGTGGCAGAATTGAGGTTCCAGTTGAGGCCCTCAACTCATCTCCCTCACCTCCGTGCTGTCAGCAAGGCCCAGTGCACTCAGGTGCTTCAAGGTGCCTGGAAGCTGCCAGCCTGTGGAAAAGCCCTTCGCGGAAGCCGAGCTCTCAGCCTCTCCCTCTCTGTCCCTTTGCCCGTAGCTTTAGTTCCTGCCGGCCCCACTCTGCTCCTGAGCATATAGAATGGGCTTTGATCCTCAGAATGCCGTATTTCTAACTCCGCTCATTTCTTTTCTGTCCTTCCTGGGCATGTTTCTCAAGGGAGAGCAAATCCCTGGAGTGGGTGTTGCGTCATGGCCTCTCATGTTCCCCTGTGCTCCTGTGCTTGGCTCGGACGGAGTTTTCTCTCTATGGCTTCACTCTTGACTCCGTAAACTGTCGTCTTCTACATCTCCCTCCAGTGTACTTGCTGCTCTGCAGTTCTCTATCTGGTTCCCTCTTTTCCTCTTATTCTGTCTAAGTGGCTCCTGCCCTGTCCTTTCTGGAGAAGAATCTGGCTGAGAGTGGAGCCCATTCCTGTCAGTGCTGCGGCCTGCATAGAGGGCCCCCTCAGCTCTGTGTGGTAGTGGGGTAATTAAGACGGACAGAATGGTCCCATGTACTATGATACTCACCTTACCCTGTCTGTCTGCTTGCAGCTTTGCCATATCCAAAAGAGGCCGCCTGCTGCTTGCTGATGACATGGGCCTGGGGAAGACCATCCAAGCCATCTGTATAGCAGCCTTTTACCGGAAGGAATGGCCACTCCTGGTGGTCGTGCCTTCCTCTGTGCGCTTCACCTGGGAGCAGGTTAGATTTCTTTGCATTGGAATCACTGGGAAGGGTTTCCTTAGGGCTAGAACATCAAAATTACAGTGTAGAAGTGAGGCCTGGGATCTTTCAAGGTCTAGATGTGGGTCAAAGAACAGCAGAAAGATGAGTTGGTCCCTGAGAACAGGGAGTCATATTATCCCCAAAGGGATGAAAGCCAAGCAGTTGCTAGCTCAGGGACCTATTGCCAGTCCCTCAGCAGATACTGTACCTCTGTGCCCTTGTAAGTAAAACCTTTCTGCACTGCACCCAATTTCTGGAATGTTCTTACTGTAGTTGTCTCTCCCAATCCTGTGACACAGCATTCAGCGATCCACTTTACAAATTAGGTCTCAAGGAGGTCAAGAGCTGTGTACTTCCTAAGGCCTTCCTTCCTGATGTCCCTGGTTTTGCTTGCTGTAGGGTGGAGTGCATAGTACGTTTATGTTCCCAGATGACCTAACGTGGAGGCCTCATGTAAACATTGAATTTTTTTTTTTTTTAATTTTACCAAATTCAGTGAAGAAAGGCCCAGCTCATTTCCCAGGCTTGATGGCTTTGTGCTGCTGATGTGGGGCGTCAGTTTCTTCACAGGTTGACGTCTCCCTGAGGCACCGGGTCAGAGCGCAGAGGACACACCTCAGCCTGCCGCTCGTGAGGTCTGGTCCTGCCACTACCTGTAGGGAGCTGTCTTTATATATCTGAGTGTGTTAGATTTCCCTCCAAAAGTCCAGAAGGAGTCAGGGAGCTGCTTATAAGCAGGACCAAGACTAGAGAACTCATGTCAGGGCGTAGTAGGCCCAGGCAAGGCCAGGGGCACCTACATGCTCAGGCTCCAATATGGAGACACCCAGGGGCCCATTTCTCCAGTGATGGACTGTAGAGGACACCAGGTAGCTTTGAAAGAAACTGCCATCAATGTTTCCATAGTCCTGAGTAAGCACAGTTGGTCTTTAGTGTACGGGGCTCTTGTAGGTCCTTCATAAAATTCTTCCCTAGCAGGAATTGTTGTGCTTAGCAGCTAGAGATCATAGAGAAGAAACAATAGGCACATGAGGTACCTGCTCACAGGAAAGAGTCCTGTCAGGAAACGGTGAATTAGAGGCAGGGAGAGATGACAGGGTTTGGCAGATGCGGGAGGATGTGGTGACGACTCTGTCTTCAGGGAATGTTCAACTCGCTCCCCACAAAAAATGCTGTTGATGCGTTGGCTTGGGATCATCACTTTGTTTCGCTGTCCCCTGTCATCTGCAGGCCTTTCTTCGGTGGCTACCATCTCTGAGTCCAGAGAACATCAACGTGGTGGTGACTGGGAAGGGCTGCCTAACAGCGGGCTTGGTCAACATTGTTAGTTTTGATCTTCTTAGCAAGTTGGAAAAGCAACTAAAAACGCCCTTTAAAGTCGTCATTATTGTAAGTGACTTGGCAGAGTCCTGAAGTACTTTGTCTCTTCAGACACTATGAAGGGAACTTGACCTCATTGGTCCTCTTTGGGTTTTGGGTAGAGGGGGCAGTAGAAAACACTGCCTTTCTCATGTAGGGATGACCTGTTCCTTTCCTGAAGCGGCTCTTATGCCTGACTAGGAGAAGCGTTTTAAACAGGTGGAACAAGTCTTTTAGAGTCTCTAGTCCATCCCTCCTGCACTGGGACGCCAGGGATGGAGACCAGCATGTGTGCAGCAGGGCATTTTGGGTCCCAAGGACTGCAGCCTTGTCAGCAAGGGTGACAGCCTGCATTGGTACCACCTTGTGAATGTCGTGACTCAGACATACAGCTCAGCAGTCAATAACTGTCTTCCACCTGGTGTGAAGACACGTCCCTGTCCCTGCGGAAAGAAAAGCAGGTTTTACTTGAGTTGTTTTTAAAGACGTCGTCAGCTGCTTCCAAGTTTGACAGTCCTGCTTTCAGCAACTGGCTTTTCCTCTCCATTCTCTATACATGTCGTGCGCACCTGGGCAAACTCTGCCCAGCCAGCTGTTGTCAATAGAATATGTGGACATGGTTTCCAGATACAAACATGGCTGGAACTCAGAGCAGGAAAGGAGAAGACATGGCTGCAGACCCCCAGGGATATTCAGTGACCACCCTATGTTCTCAATGTGTGCAAACAGGAACACATATTTTATCAAAGCTATTTGGGTAATGAGTCTTTGGGGGAGTCGTGTTGGGCTTTGCACGAATTCAAATGTGTCTTTGAAAGGATGGAAGCCATCTGTGGAGATGACATATTAAAGGAAATGTTCCAGGGAGGCTCTAGGGTGTAGGGACAATGATGCCTGTCTTTCCTGACTGTGACCTTGAATTAGGTGTCTCACATAGAACCACTACTCTCCCCTGGGTCCGCAAGCACTGCCTTTAACTCACCCAAGCTGACAGTACCGGCACATCCATCCTTTTCCCTTGGTTGCAGAGCGTTGAAGATTTTGTGGCCTGTGGCTTCAGAATTCATTTGTTTCTGTTTCTGGCTCATTACTCAACCAGCCTCAAGATTCTGGGCAAACTGCTTGCCACCAATGTTGGTTTGTCATCAGAGGAAGGAAACAGCTTGCCACTCTGGCTTTCCTGTAGCAGGGGATGGTGTGGCGTCTCAGATGCACACTCCGTAGACGAGGCTGATCTCGAGCCACTGCTTGTGCTTGTTCTGGCAGTGGTACTTTTACCCAGGGTCACAAGGGCTAATTCCCTTTCATGCCTGACCCATTTTCTGCAACTTCTCTCTATAAATGGCTTTCTCGTGACTTTCATGAGGACCTACCATGAATCAGGATCATGAATATAGTACCCCAGGCTTCTGGACATTTGAGGAGTCTCACACTGTCCACTGTGCTTTTGAGGCCTTTTTGTTTATCATAGCATATGATATATTTGTCTATTGTACCATATCACGGAGTGATTTGGGGGCAACGTAATAGATTCTTTCAGGGACAGAGGTAGGATCACTGCTAGCCCCTGGTACAGGGAATACTCACTGGGTGGCAGGACTGCTTTGCAGACTGCCCCTGCATTAGCTTACTTCAGATGTAGCAATCTGATATTCCAGGAACTAGCATTAGCCATTTTGTGGGTAGAGAAACTAGGTAGCATAGCTCAGAGCCATTTGGCAAGCAACTGGAATATGCCAATCTAACAACTCCGTCCTGGGGAATAACTGTCCACAACAGCTGTGTCTTTAGGAAATACGGCAAATTTTGTGCTTACTTATATACAGAGGGTATCACTATAAATCTACCAAATGCTGTACTTTAACACAGTCCCCAGAGCACAGGAATCCCTCAGTTCCCACAGTGCTTTGCACGCATGGCTGTGGTGATGTAACTGACCTGCTGCCAGGGCATCTGCCATCCTTGCTGCTCCGCAAAGCATGAGGGCAGGTTCCAGACCCAGAACTTGACACCGGTTCAGAACGTGTAGTGGGTCTCCAGCACATCCGACTGCTGCCATGCTGATGTGTTTCCACGAGGTAGCAAGCCACCTGTCAGGGCTTCAGGGTTTTGCCCACTAACTAGTGGGAGGTTGGGACAAGTATTCGCCAGCTCCCTTTCTAGGTGGAAAACTGCCCTAGGGAGAGACAGGAATTTATCCAGAGCATAATAAAGAAGCTGCCCCAAGCCCGGTTCCTCCTCTAGCCTACTGCTCCATCTCCCTGAATAGCAGCAGGTTGAATACAAGCCAGACTCCAGCTCAGGTGGCTGTCTGTGTATCAAGGACTGCCCGTTTACTCCTGTGGCTCTTTCTTTCAGGATGAATCACATTTTCTCAAAAACATTAAGACTGCCCGCTGCCGAGCAGCTGTGCCTATCCTAAAGGTAAGTGTGGCTCCAAGAGACTTAGGGGCTTGATACATTTGTTCAGGCATGCAGAGCTTCCTGGAAAGACAGATGGCGGTCCAGGCTGATGAGCTAGGGGAGGGCCTCAGTGCTGGCATTGGGCATCTCTTCTTGGATTATGAGCTAGTTTACATCCTGCCAAAAACCCAGTCCACATGAAGTCCCATTGAGGGTCACAGGCTCAGATGAGAAGAGACTCTGAGTCGTCCTTTGGCTTCCTGCCAGCCTAAGAAGACCTCTAAGAGTATGTCATTAAACCACTCAGGAGAAACTGATCACTTGTAGTGGCAAAGCTGCCAAGGTGTGATGTGTTATCCTAATGCAGAACCAGGACAGGACTGTGGGCATCACAGAGACTCTCCAGCAAAGCTGAGGATTACCCGCCTCACACCGTCTGAGGCCTGTGGTTAACTAGAAGGTCTACTGTGTACATTTTTTTCTCCTGCATGTTCTCAGATCTACACCTGTCCCTGAGCACATGGCTTGTTGTGTTCTGGCTTCAGGACAGGCAGAAGTGGGCATGGGCACAGGGTCAGGGTGGGCAGCCATGGGCATGTAGCTCAGGGTCAGGGCAGGCAGCAGTGGGCATGTAGCTCAGGGTCAGGGCGGGCAGCAGTGGGCATGTAGCGCAGGGTTAGGTCTTGCTCTATACACAATCTGATGCAGTTCTACGCCCGTCTTTGTTCTGTGTCCTGGACCGCACTCCTCGGGTGTGTGACATCATGCCGAGTTGTGATAATTGCCTAAATGAGATGCCCGCTTAAAATCCAAGTGTTTTGTTTTTTGCTTTAAAAAAAAATAGATGATTAAGTTTACAAAAAGTACACTATAGTAAAACAAACAACTTGTCTTTTCCTCCCATCGGTGGATCCCTGGTCTTTGCTGTCCCTCAAAGATAGCCATAGCTGTCAGAGTCAATGGTTTGCTGCTGTAAGAGCCTCATGCTAAGTGTGTTTTCTTGTGTCCTACAGAGTATCCTACAGCTCTTGTTTAGTCATTGTTTCTTTTTTCTTCCTTTTTGGAACAGGGCATTGTATAGCCCAGGATGGTCTTGAATTCATGATCTTTCTGCCTCTGCCTCTCTGTAGAGGTGTGTGCCACGATACCTAGCTGCTCCAACCTATCTAGCGTTGGAGTTGACCTGCCTGGGGAGATGAGCGAGCAGGCATTAGACATTCCTCCTGAAAGGCTGGGATTGGGTGGACTGAAGAGACACACTAGCAGCCTGAAATCTCTGTGCGTTTATTGTATGCAGCTGGAGGAGGAGAGAGGTTAGCCAGTCTCTGTAGGAAGGCTCCGTGGAGGAACATTCTCAGGTTGCAGTCATCTGGAGGAGGCAGCTAGGGTTAATAGCTTCCGAATACACTGATTTTAGCTAAAGGCCAATCCTCTTAGCAGCAGTACTTGGACAAGGAGATGGCTTTGTCATTTCCCCAACCTAAACCAGGGAAAGCTTTGCCATTCCCATGGGTTTGGCACTGGGGTCCTTGACGTTCACTCAGGACTTCATCCGTTCCCCACGCCTAGTTTTATATCAACCTCTGCTTTTTATCTGTTATCTTCCCCTGGATTGTGTGCCCTGAAAATCATTGCATGCCATCCTAAATGGCTACCTCATTCTTACGTACAGCATTCTGTTTATAAACCTGCCACAATGTGTATCCTTTGTTCTCTTTGGATTTGTCCCCAAACTGAAGCTTTCATGCCCAGCACTGCAGTGACCTTCTTTTCCCAGGATGCAGAGGCTGCATGGGGCGAGAGGGGCTTCCTTACCTTACAGAGCCACAGGGGAGAGAAGGTGTCCAGTAGTAGATCTCTTTTTGCCCCGGTATGACAAGGAAGGGGTCCCTGTGTCCAGCCATTCTTATTTCCTCAAGTTCGTTACAGAATCAAGCTTCAGAGGGAATTATTGGAGTCTAATGTTTGGGGGGAAATAGACTATTCTTCCAAGAAAAAACTAATCTACCACAGTACTTAATTTTAGTATGTATGCTGTCTTAATAATATTTATAATACACAAGCCTTAACACTCAGAAGGGTACATTATATAACAAATATACTACGTGTTGTATTTTCACTATAGCATTAAAGCTCAGAATGGTATATTATTCTACAACTATACTATGTATTGTATTTTCATTATAGCACCTTAGTATTTTTAATCCATATACCGTCACAGTCTTCAGTCTAACTGGTCTTAGCCAGTGGCCTCAAGTTGTAAAAATGGAGAGCAGTGATACTGGTTTAGCATGGAAGGTCGGTGTTGGCCTAGAGGGATGACTCAGCAGTTAAGAGCACTGGCTGGTTTGCAGAAGCCTGGGTTCTATTCCCAGACCCACATGGTGGCTCTGAACTTTCTGTAATGCCAGTTCTATGAGATCCAGTGCTGGCCTCTGGGAGGCACATGGTGCACAGACAAAATAAATGAAGTACAAGAGCCCTGTGTTGTAGATGAGCTTAGTGGGGTCAGTAGCGCCCATCAGCTTCTCTCGGCGGTTTTCAGGCCTTCCATTTGCTCTCTGGTCATCGCTCTTACTTCCTCTTGGGGAGTGGCTGTCAGCCTGCTTTTGGTTTTGACTATGGGTATTTTGGTCACTTGACTCCAAACTAGGGTTGCCTTACTTGAAGGTTATTGATTCTGAACATTATTTGTGAAGATTCTAGAATGATTTGTGAGCTTATTAAAACTCAATAGCTCACCATGTCCTGGGCATCAAGATTATGAGGGCTGGGACTCGGGCAGTGCAGCCTTGATTTTCTCTTTGATGTTACCTGCTTCTGCACACCCTATTCTGTTACAAGGAGAGGGCTTGTTTGTCCCGGCTGCCCAGCCCCAAAATAATCACACAGGAACTGTATTAATTAAATCACTGCTTAGCCCATTAGCTCTAACTTCTTATTGGCTAACTCCTACATCTTAATTTATCCCATTTTTATTAAATTGTGTATCACCACGTGAAAGTGGCAGATCCATGGCATCTCCCTGACTCTGCTTTTTTCCTCCCAGAATTCAGTTCCGCCTTCCCCGCCTACCTAATAAGTTCTGCCCTCTCAACAGGCCAGGGCAGTTTCTTTATTCATTAACCAATGAAAGCTACATATAGACAGAAGGACCTTCTACATCACTACTCTAAATGACATGCCTTTATTTCAAGTGCTACAGAATATAACACAGGCTATAGAAATAGGACTCGGCCTGGATGGTGGTACACTCCTTTGATCCCAGCGCTTGGGAGGCAGAGGCAGGCAGATCTATTTTTGAGGATAGCCAGGGCTACATAGGAAAACCCTATCCCAAAAGCCAAAAAAAAAAAAAAAAAAAAAGTTGGGAGGGCACAACTTTGGAGAACATGATTTTGATTTTCTATCCTTGGGGAGATGTTATAACCAATCAGAATAGTTCAGCAAAGCTAGTTACTGGCTCAGTTGTGGGGTTGGGGGCAAATGGAAAGGGGTAGCTCCTGGACTGTTTGCTGTATGGTCTTGAAATAACCCCAGTTCTTTGCTTCAAACATCCCTGGGCTCACGCTTTCAGTCTGCTTTGGCTAACTGCGTGGCGTCCTCCTTGGTGCACTAGATGCACTAACTTGCTCTGCGTGTGAGTATCCTGCAGGGCTTGTGATGCTCAGCTCCGAGGAACCATCCTAGACAGCCAGCTGCCCTCAGTGTCAGCTGCGTTACCTTCCCAACACCAGGCAGAGTTCTTTACGTCATCTCGCTGTCTTTCCTTGGCCAGGGGAGTTGACTACACAGAGTTAAATTTAGCATTGATTTATATCATTTTATACATCTTTATTTTCCTGCGCGTGGTTTTCTCAGAGATAGACCAAGCATGGCAGCTATTTTCAGGTGGGCACAGATCAAAGGCCTCGTGGATGACTGACAGTTTTGGGTCTGAACAGGAAGCAGGTTGCATCATTCCTTAGCTGATGAGATGCCGCTCTGGTTGCTTCTCAAAGTCAGCCATTTCCTTTTCTGCAGTGCACTCTCTGCTTTTCAGCACCCACATTCCCCTCCTTAGTCCTTCTCCTATCACTTCAGTCTGGGAAATGTAAGAGAGAACTGACTATTGACTCCTCCCGGGGGGAACCTGCTGCCTGGTCTGGAAGCTGGTTTAGCCCAGGCTCCATCTCCAGGCAAACGCGAGCATTGGGAGCACGTTCCAGATTGGGGCAGATGTCTCCTAGTGAAACTCTCTGTTTCTACTTTAGTTTTTTGTCTTTTACCACTTTCCTTTAAATAGGCTAAACTCACAGTCTTCTACAGACATCATTCAAGATGCCATTGTTACTTTAATGAGTCTGCATCAAACTGTGCAGGAAATCATAGCCAGAAACCTTCATTGGCAGTGGTTGAGAAGGCAGACGTGCATCTTGAGAATTGTGTCTCGTGTATTTATGAAGAATCCTCTTTCCTCCATGGTTACACCTTTGTTTTTATGATCAGCGTATCCATTTGGAAACCTACTTTCCCTTTGGGCATTTACTTCATACGGTTGCCTTGTATTACTGCCACTAGCTCAAGGTTACCGTGGTTAACAAGCAGTTTCTAGGCGCTGAGCCCCACAGCAGGGTCTCCTCCAAAGCTGAGGGGATTTCACCTCTAACAGTTGTGGTGTTCCTTGCGGCACTATCTCCTCCTGGGTTACTCTCTCTCCCATCTCCCTAAGGTCTGATCTGGGTCAGGTCTGAGTCGGGGAAGGGAAGACCCTAGAGTCCCCTGGAGCCGGGTCAGCCACCTGTTTATTTCCTTCCTGCCCATTGCTGAGCAGACCGAGCTTGGTCAGTGACACTGGGTCCCACAGTTTAAAGTTCTTAGTAATTACAAAATGAACTAGAGTTTTGAAATACAGTGAAGTTAAAAGGACATTTTTTTCTTTAAAAAAAAAATTAGTGAGTAATCTTCTGCTGCACAAGCGTGGACACCTGAGTTTGAATCTGCAGCACTGGGTTTTGAGCAAAGTCAGGTGAACCCTCAGCTCGTTGGCCTAACGGCTCAGCCAAATGGATAAGACCCTGTGTCGGAAAGGAAGGGAAACAGTGAGTAGAAAAGACACATGGCATGGACCATTGGCCTCCGTGTACACGTCACCCATGTGCACCTCCATAACAGTGCACACACCACATGAATATGTGCATACAATATATACAGAAGCATTTCCCATTATCAGCTAGTTGTAAGCTAGGTTCTTAGCCTGTGGGTGGCAACCCCTTTAGGCAGGGGAGCAGGAAAGTGATCCTTTCACAGGGATCACACATCAGATAGTCTGCATTTCAGATACTTACATTATGATTCATATAGCAGAAAAATTACAGTTATGAAATAGCAACAAAAATAATTTTATGGTTGGGCATCACCACAGGGTCGCAGCCTTAGGAAGGTTGAGAACCACTGAGCTAGGGGCTTCTACACAGGCTGTCTCTGTCATTTACTCTTGATACTAGCAGCGTCATTATGATAAATTTAACTTGATATCAGAAGTCTGTTCTGCAGAGAATTCAGGCCTATTGGTCTCCCTGCTTTGTTCCAGCTCTGGACCCCTCATGTTTACTTCATGTTCCCTTCGACACTAACTGGCTTTCCTCTGAATTTTTCTCAGTATGTAGTATACATTGATTACCTATTTTGTGCCACAGATAGGAACAGCCCAGTTCCTACTTTCTCAGCACTTTCTAGGGCAACAGAAATTACAAAGTGTGTATGTGTGTGTGTGTGTGTGTGTGTGTGTGTACGTGTGTGTGTGATTTATTAGACTGGTTTACAGACTGTGGTCCAGCTATTCCAACATTGGTTGTCTGTAAACCAATGGAAGTTCCAGGAATCCAGTAGAGAGAGTGAGAGCTTCCTTTTTCCACGTCTTGTGCAGGCTGCCAGCAGAAGGTGTGGCCCAGATTAAAGGTGGATCTTCCTGCCTTTTGAAATTAGAAGTGGGTTTTCTTCTATCAAATGAAAATGATTTGATTAAGATAAAGTCCCTCACAGGTGTGCCTAACCATTTGGGCTTTAGGTAATTCCAGATGTAGTCACATTGACAACCAAGAATAGCCGTCACAATCTCAAGAGTTTTGCAGTCAAGCGAGGGCCACAGGAAAGGTAGTTCAGGAAGTGTCAGTGCTGTGACAGCAGCTAGGAGGGACTGAAGAATTGACAGTTGACGTCTGACCGCTTACATTTGCAGTGCCATTTGGATTTTACAACACATGGTCTTTTTCTGCGGCTCGAGTGCCCTGATTTAGAGATCACACAGTTCTGGAGTGAGGCTCATTGTTAGGAACGGCCTGGAGAGAAGGCTCAGTGGTGAAGGGCACATGCTGCTCTCCCAGGGTTGTGCTGTTCACAGCCACCTGCAACTCCGGCTGCGGTGAATCTGATGACCTTCACACACACATACACGCTCACTCACACACACTCGCACATGCACACACATACTCACACACACTCGCACATGCACACACATACTCATACACACACTCGCATGTGCACACACACACACAATCGCATGTGCACACACATACTCATACACACACTCACACGTGCACACACATATTCACACACATTCGCATGTGCACACATACTCACACACACTCGCACGTGCACACACATACACACACACACTTGCACGTGCACATACATACACACACTCGCACGTGCACACACATACACACACATACTCGCACGTGCACACACATACACACACTCGCACGTGCACACACATACTCACACACACTCGCACGTGCACACACATACTCACACATACTCGCACGTGCACACACATACACACACTCGCACGTGCACACACATACTCATACACACACTCGCACGTGCACACACATACTCGCACGTGCACACACATACACACACTCGCACGTGCACACTCATACTCACACACACTCGCACGTGCACACTCATACTCATACACACACTCGCACGTGCACACACATACTCACACACACTCGCACGTGCACACACATACACACACTCGCACGTGCACACTCATACTCACACACACTCGCACGTGCACACTCATACTCATACACACACTCGCACGTGCACACTCATACTCACACACACTCGCACGTGCACACACATACTCATACACACACTCGCACGTGCACACGCATACACACACTCGCACGTGCGTACACATACACACACTCGCACGTGCACACACATACTCATATACATTCAAACACTTATACACACACCACACACACACACACACACACACCCAATTAAAATGTATATACTTAAAGTACATCCAGCGGTGATAGAGCCTAGGAAGTAAAAGATGAAGCTGCTGCAGTCCACAGGGCTCTGCTGCTCTTGGGGTAGGGTGTGGGGCATCCAGCCTCTGCCTCATGGCAGCATTTTGGATATTTCGTATTAAGGGATCTCTCAGGGGTATGGGTCTCCATCGTTTCCTCCTCACTATACTGAGAGCATCTTTGGTTGTTTCATCCTTAGGTTGCCAAGAGAGCGATCCTGCTGTCGGGCACACCCGCCATGTCCCGGCCTGCAGAGCTCTACACACAGATCATTGCTGTCAAGCCAACGTTCTTCCCCCAGTTTCATGCCTTTGGACTGCGCTACTGTGATGCCAAGCGGGTATTCATTCTCTCGTCTCCATCGCCCCCTATTCTTTTACCTTCATGACAGTTTTCTTTCTGTTCCATGATAGGAACCAAGAAATGCACCAGAAAACCAGATGAAAATTTCATTATAGTTTGCCTCTAACTTTGACTTTTGAGTACTTTCAAAGGCAAGATGAAATCCGTCCTTCTAAGTTTTTTTTTTTAATTATTTTATTTACTATATATACAGTGTTCTGACTGCATGCCAGTGTGCCTGCATGCCAGAAGAGGGCACTAAATCTCATTGTAGATGGTTGCGAGTCATCTTGTGGCTGCTGGGAATTGAACTCGTGGCCTCTGAAAGACTAGCCAGTGCTCTTAACCTCTGAGCCATCTCTCCAGCCCTGTCCTTCTAATTTTAACACTTGTAATGATTTCTGATTCTCTAGGAAAGGGTCCAGTAGTTACTGCACAGATATGTGAGGCTCTGAGTGGTGCTGTCTGGGTCCAGCTTATAGCTCCTGTGCAAGGCTTGCAGCCTGGGCTGTAGGAGCAAAGTCCACACCAGAAGCAGCCCCAGAAAAGGCACTGAGGCGTGTTAGAGGGAAGCTCCCAGGCAGAGCCAAGAAAGCAGGTGAATGAGGGTTTCTGGCCTGGGAGGAAGTCATCTACGAAAAGACCATGCAGAACCTTGGAGCAGGTAGAACAGAGTGGGATTGATAGAGCAGTTTTAGGCTGTCCTGGGAGGGCTTCTCTGCAAGCCTGTGCTCCTAAGTGGTGGCCCCTGACCCATAAGTCAATCCCTGAAGTGACTCCAAACCTGCCATCTGCACAGTTCTCCAGGGTTGGGAGAGTGAGTGCTGCAGACAGGAATGTGGTGTCGTCAGGGTCACCGTTTGTCAGTCCTCCCCAGCTCAGACCTTAGTAATATGTGCTGAGGTCAAACCACACCTATACTGGGCCCTGTTTACATCAGAGACACTGATGCTTTGGAGAAATGGCTGCAGTTACTCATGAACACTCTATGAGAAACCCCTGCTATGTGAATTTATGATTGCTTCCCATATTTTTAAACTACTTTAAAAATAAGACATTTTAAAAGCATTTCCATTTACTCACAAAGTACGTATAATCTAAGTTCTAGTGCTTTGCAGAGTTTAATGATGGACTAGTTAGATTGTCGTTAAGATAGCTTCTCAGTTGTTGAATGTCTTCAGTCATACATTCCATTAACACAGTCTGCAGCTTCCTTTCTCCATGACTGTGTCCAGAGTGGGTTGTTTATAAATTCCCTATGTTGTTTTTACTTCAGTCCTCTTTGCTGCTTTCTGACTAGGACTCCTCGCTCAGCTCGCTGAGACCGTAGATAGCACCCACTGGAAGGCCTGAGGTGGAGTTCATCCTTCTGACCCCATCGTCCCTTCCTCTGTTCTAGAGGGGTCTGGACATTATGAGGCTCCATCCTCCAGTCCCGCTTATTCTCCTTCCTGCTCTCTTTCCTCACCTCAACAAACCATAGGTGTGGACAGTGTCTGTGTCTTCCTCCTGTCCTTTATTCCACCCAGCCCAGTGCATGAGACCTTGTTAGAATGTGATTATTCCAGCTTAAAATCTTTCAGCATTATTTTTAGCATTATTCAGTTTTAATCTATAAAGTTAAGAGGTAAGAATATTAAACTGGAGGCAAGATATCCAAGTTAATTATGATATTCACATCTTCCCAAGTTTGTTCTAAAGTATAGCCCAGGGGGCAAGATGTTTCCCTTCTCTGCACTAGGAGACCTCGCTAGAGAAAGCACCCTGAACCAAGCTCACTTGATACCCAGTGACTGTCTAGAGGCATCAGGGGGAGGTGAGGCAGGAAAGAACTGAGTTGGGAATCTGCAGAGCAGCAGAGACCCGTGCTCTCTGGCGTTCCGCATAGAGATTGGAAGAGTACTGGGGAAGGATAGGACGTAACTGATGATTGGTTGGTTGATATCTGATTGATTGATTGATTGATTGATTGATTGATGTGATGGGTTCAAACCCAAGACCTTATGTACACCAGGCAGATGCTCCACTTCTACTCATTTACACCCAGCTAGGGATTTTATTTTAGTTTCTCATATCTTCTGTAGCTATATGAGAGGGAGTGGAATCTGAGCTCTCAAGCTATGAGCTGCTGGAGGGGACCCTGGATTCTAAAACTTTGATCTGGTTTCAGCCAGACCAGCACAAACCTATGTTCTGGGCTTTTCAAACCCAAACATCAGTCACTTAAACTGATAGAAATGTTAGTTTCAAATGGTGGGCGACTGTGACTTTGGTTTTCAGTTTATCTCATGCCTGGCTTTCCCCACATCCTTTCTATCCTCATCTGTCTCAGTTGGGGTTCATTTAGTCTTGTAAAGCCCCTTGAGTTTGTCTGAACGCAGTGCTGTCTGGAGCGCCAAGGCTGAAGTTGTCCTCTCTTTCTCCAGCTCCCTTGGGGCTGGGACTACTCGGGCTCCTCCAACCTGGGCGAGCTGAAGCTGCTGCTGGAGGAGGCCATCATGCTGCGGCGGCTCAAATCCGATGTCCTCTCCCAGCTCCCAGCCAAGCAGCGCAAGATGGTGGTGGTCAACCCTGGTCAGATCAGCACCAGGGCCAAGGCAGCTCTAGATGCAGCAGCCAAAGAGATGACCAAGAACAACACTGTGAGTGGGACTGTGGCGTGGGTGCTTCCCCGGGTGTCCTTCCGGAAGCTGCTCTGTGCGTGTGCCCCGAGTTCTCCAGACATGACTTTTCTAACTAGAGCAAGAAGAGCCTGACCGTGCGTGCGTGCGTGCGTGTGTGTGTGTGTGTGTGTGTGTGTAGGGAGCATGCAAGTATGCCAGTTTGGACCTGGGCCATGCATTCAGGTTGTCAGCGTTGGAATTTGTAAATTGGTGTTTACAGAGAGTGAAATGAGGCTCACAGATCTGAAGTTAGGTGCCGCTCTCCCGCCCTATACCGTGAGTTGTGTACAAGATGCCCCGCTGGCTGGCTCTTAGTTCATGCTCTTCAGTTTCGGAAGTGCTGGGAAGAACTCTATGCCAGCCTTATACTTCTCATTAGCAAGAAAATAAACAATCATTACAAATCATCTGGGCCCCATAGTCCCCCAAAGACAGTGAGTCACTGTTGTGATGTCAGCCTCTGAGAAGTGACAGAATGCCCCAAAATGACAAGAGATAAAATGTGCAATGTTTTCAGTATTATAGTGGGAATAGCAAATGCGGCAGGCTAGAGGAAGCCCTGGTGAGTTGTCATACCATGTTTAATGTGTGCTTAATCACATGTAGTAACCTGAATTCCCAGAGAAAGGGAGGAATAATCCTGCGGTAATTTTCCATTTTATGTGGACATAATGGATCATGTTCTTTTTGTTGTGGTGCTGCTGGTTTGGTTTTCCTTTCGAGACAGGGTCTTGCTTATAAACCAAACTAGTCTCCAACTTATAATCCTCCTGCCTCTGCTGATGGCTGAGATTGCAGGTGTATGCCACTATGTCCAATTAGGGCAGTGCTCTGAGGTTATAGTTTGGTAACATAAGAGGCTCTGTCACTGAAAATCAATCTTGGTGATTTCTACAAATAAAATTCAGTGAATAGAAACTTTATTTATAAATTTTACATACTTTTTTGCAGGGGGTTGCGGGGGCTGTGCTGTGGATTAAACCCAGAGCCTTGCTCGTGCTGAATGTGTGCTTTACTACTGAGCTCACCCAGCCCATAACTTGCTTTTGAGACAGGGCCTCACTATGTGGACCTGGCTGTCCTGGAACTCACAGAGATCCACCTGCTTCTACCTTCTAGGTGTGCCCTTACTGCCTGACCAGTGAATAAGAACAGCAAATATAGTGTTAGCAGGGAGACAGGCCTGCAGTAATTTTAGATTCAAAGATACAGTTTTGGTTTTGCTACTTATGGTGGTGTTTGTTGTATGTGTGAATGGAGCAAGGCCTTTAGCGTTTCTCGCTAATACTGGTCTGCCTTTGGAACAACTGGTTTAGAAATCAAGAAATCAAAACAAAAACAAAAACACAGAGAGGGAGGGAGGGAGGGAAGGAGGGAGGACAGTCAGCTTTTGAGTTGAAGAAGAAAACACACTGACAGGTAGGGCAGCCAAAAGGAACAAGAATGAAACAAAGCACTTGGGTACTCTGGTTAGTTCAGCAGTTGTGTAACAGTTTTTAAACCTGTACCGTGTGCATATGGCTCTTTAAGTGTGCCGTATATTATTTCACATGCAGCCTGAAACTTTGACTTCATATCAAGCTAATAACATAGCATTCTATTAGTAAAATTTAAGATAAGCCATGACAATTATGAGTGCTGGGTAGTCAGCCATACAAATCCCCTGTCTTGGAGGGGATATTTTAATGTTTCCATAAGTAGAACAGGGTGCTGGAGATCGATGAGGGTCGTGTCAGTTACCTGGAGTTCTGCCTGCTGGTGACTGTCACCCTTGTCTTAGATGCTGTAGACTTCTCACTCCCTTTTCGGAGATGATGGAAGTGAAGTCTGAGCTCAGTGAAGGTTTTCCAGCCTCCAGCCCAGAACCTGTGACCTGCCCCTCTCCCCCTCAGCAGTCTGATGCAAATCAAAGGCTTAGCTTCCTTCAGGAAGCAGACACAGCAGTGGCTGGCCAGTGGAAAGTGTCTCCAGACAAACCCCACCAGCTGTGAAACCCTGAGTCAGTGAGGTTAAACGGAGCCATGCTATCATAGTTTTAGACAAATAAGGAGACTCGAGAGTCAGCAGAAGTACCCTTGTTATCATTACTTTTAGCCCCAAGCACCTCTCAGCCTACATCATGGACACTCCGGCAGGCCCTGCAGGCTTGCCTGTCAAGTGCTGGTTCTTTGTCCATTCACACCTCTCCATCTAGAAGATTTATTCAGACCTTCGTATGAACAAGTGAAGGCCACGCAGCCAGTTTATAAAATCTGTTATCATGAAAACTTTTCTCATTTTTCAGCTGGAAACGTTTCCTTAAAGGCTGAGGAAAACCGGCTATCATGGCCTTTGTCTGAAGCTGGTTTCTGATTAGCAAAGAAACAAGAAAATGAAGCAGGCCCATGCAGAGTCCCAGTGACAGCATCCTTTCTCCCTTGTCATTTAGCAAGACAAGATATCTGAGAACCGCAGTGCATCCATTTTAGTAAGAGTCTAGGAGCCAAGGAACAAAGGGTACAAGTTGTTTCAAAGCCCCTTGCCCACGCTAGAAAAGAAGTGAGACCATTAATTGATAGTATGATATCTACTCAATTTGATAAAGTTTTTCTTTTCTTTTTAAAGATAAAACTATTGATTTCTCTCACATTAAAAAAACACCAAGGCACCAGGCGTGGTGGTGCATACCTTTAATCCCAGCACTCAGGTTGCAGAGGCAGGTGGATCTCTGTGAGTTTGAGGCCAACCTGGTCTACAAAAACTAGTTCCAGCACAGGCTTCAAGGCTACAAAGAAACCCTGTCTTGAAAAAACCAAAACAAAACAAAAAAACAAACAAACAAACAAAAAACCCACCAAGGCTATGGATGTAGGTCAGGGGTAGAGTACTTGTTTAGCATGTGCAGGTCTATGGGTCTGATCCCCAGTTTTGCAAAAAGAGAATAAGAAATACAGTAGATGTTAATAATATAATAGATGTCTGCTGTGTAGAATAAAAATAAAGGTAAACACTCATAATAAGTGGGATTTATTGAATACTTGTGACTATATGTATTGGCTACTGAATTCTTACCATCAGGTTCCAAGCCCAGATATTTGAGCTTCCTAGAAACTCTACTTCTGCTGTATACTTTGAAACACACACACACACATATATATATATTTATATATGCCTACATGTGGTCATTTTATATAGAATATAATTTATATGCCTACATATGTTTTGTATAAAGCATATTTGTATATAACTAGATATAAATATATTATGTAATAAGGAAGAATATTTTTAATTTATTAGATTTATTAATATTTTTATTCATGAGTGTTTTACCTGTGTGTGCACCACATGCATACTTGACGCCCAAAGGAGTCAGAAGGGAACATTGGATACACCGTAACTGGAGTTACAGATGGTTGTGAGCCATCATGTGGATGCTGGGAACCAAGCTGGGGTACTCTGCATGAGCAACAAGTACTCTGAACTGCTGAGCCAATGCACCAGCCTTGCCACCACCACCCCTTATTATTTCATTCTGTATGGATGGGTGATTTGTCTACATTATTTTTGTACTACATGTGAGCCTGTGGAGGCTAGAAGAGGGTGTCGGGTTCCCTGGGACTGGGGTTACAGATGCTAGGAGCCACCATGTGAGTGCTGGGAATTGAACCCGGATCATATGGAAGAGAAGTAAGTGCTCTTAACCACTGAGCATCTCCCTAGCCTAACAGATGTATTTTAAAAGAAGAATTGGAATCATACAAACCCTTGAGTAATGGTTTTGAAATGTTCTAGAATATAGTTGCTAAAATGGGGAAAACACAAGAGTTTGGGTCCAGCTGGGCCCCTAATTTTAGAGCGCTGAGAGTGGGTCTTTCAACTCTCATCTCCTCTTTCCACAGAAGCAGCAGCAGAAAGAAGCCCTCATCGTCTTCTTCAACAGAACAGCAGAAGCTAAAATCCCCTGTGTCATGTAAGCCGTTGCCAGTGTTCAGCTTTTGTTACCTCTCATTTTAGAAGCAGTGATTGTGGGGTGGGATAGGAAGATGCCCCGTGAGTATGTGGACCTGAGTGGCCATGTCACCCAGCTGTGTGGCAGAGACAGACAGATGCTGGCCGCTTGCTAGCCAGCCAGCCTAGCCCAATCAGTGATCTCCAGGTTCAGTAAGAGACCTTTCCTGACTGAGGAAGACGTCTGGTTTACCCTCTGACCGCCACACACAGGCACACATGTGCACATCACTGCATTGAACTTGAGGCAACCCTAACAGTGTCCACTTTGCCTGATGTTTTTCATTGCTCAACATCACATGGTGTTGGAGGGATAATGGCCCAAGTGATTCATTCACATTCATAGTGAAAGCAATTCACATGCGCCAAGTGGTGCCGCACAGGCTGTGAGACAGAGAGAGGAACCAGCCTGGCCCTTGTGCTCTTCCCCCCAGCTCCCCTGCCCAACCCACCAGTCCCTAAATTGCCCCTGCTGACCATTTCTTATGTGCTGCTGAGTGATGGAAGACAAGGGAGTCAGTTCTTTGCCTCATGCCCTACAAACCCAGGGTCTGTGAGGGAACTTTCTTCAGCTTAGGCCCACAACCATCCATTTCCCCTAGAATTCGAATATAACCGTGAAACAAATCCTCATTTGTTGATTGGTTCATAGTGGTTTTCTTTGGTTCTTGCAATGCCGGAGCTCAAGCCCAGAGCCGTGTACAGAGTGGGCAAGCCCACTACATGGAAATGCACCCCAGGCTTAAGTCTGGCCATGTTGCCTTGTCACAATCCTGTCCAAAATGTGCAGCGCTTTGTTTCTGAACACTTTCCACTTCGGTGTATCTCACACTCAGAGCCTCAGCTGACTCTGGAGAGTGACTATTGGCCAGTTTTTAAAAGTGTAGGTACTGAGCAAATCTCATGTGAGCCCCTGGACTCACGTCACACGTGTCTAATGAGGAGAATTAGGCTGTAAATAAAAACCATTTCGTCTGCCAGCTGCTTCTCTTCCCCCTTTCGCGGCTGTCTGTTTTCTGTTTTATGGGCATCTTTCCGTGAGACAGACAGCAGTATTGCAGTAGCCAGTGTGTCCATTCTGGTAACGAAAAGGGAACCTGAATGAGCAGAGCAGCTCAGCCATGTCAGTGTGGAGAGGGGAAGGGGTCCTTAGAAAAGCTGGGGCCAGAGGTTTTAGGAGCTGACCAAATCGATTCTGTGGCCCTGTGGTTTGTCAGTGCTGTGGCTACAAACTGTCACTTTTATCACGGCAAATTTTATGTCTCTCAGAATAATTAGATTCTATTAATACAGTGCTTACAAACTGAAGTCTAATTTGGTACTGCAGGCAGTTGTAATTTTGTCTGAAACTAATTCTTAGATGTTTACAGGACAGTGTATTTGGCTTTCCAGACCTGCCTATATCACAGGACACTGTCCTTCCCAAAGAAGGCCTTGCTGCTCTGCCTAGACAAGCCCCTATCTAGGGATGACCACGGGATGGGTGAGGGCTCTTGTGTCCCCAAAAGTAAGCAATAATTATCTGTACAGATCACCTCTGCCTTTAAGACCCAAGACTTGTAGATAAAAATATGAAGTTAAGAAAAAACATAGTTGGGGCTGGAGAGATGGCCCAGTGATTAAGAGCATTGACTGTTCTTGTGGAGGACCTAGATTGGGTTCCTAGCACCCATGGGGTCCTCACAGTTGTCTATAACTCTATTTTAGGGGATCTGACTCCCTCTTCTGACCTCTGTAGGCTCTGCACACTCATGGTGAACATACATACATGTAGGTAAACACTCATGCTCATTAAATAAATAATTTTAAAAACGTGCACTGGTTCAAAGAGAAAAGTAAATGAATGAGAAGACCTCCATTAGCACTGCTGTGACTACGGGGTTGGCCATCTGTGGCCTCAGTAGAAGGGAAGTGGAGAAGCCCCCTTAAATGGTCTTTTCTGTCTTCTCAATGTTGAGCTTACAGGATTTGTGTCAAAAAAGCCTTTAACCTACTTTGGTTTGTACTGAAAACAAATTAAATTGATAGTAGCAACGAACATGAAGGCTGATGTTATTTTAGTAATCTACACGACACAAATCCTGTGTGATGTAGTGTGAACAAAGGTTGGCCCTCAGAGAGGGGAGAGAATGGGCAGGAACAGGCAGGGACCTGGTAGGTTCCTGAAGTCACTTTTTGGTAGCTAATTGCAGTTGTATGTTTAATCTACTTTGTTATCATTGTCAAATATAGTGAATATATCCTGGACCTTTTGGAGAGTGGACGAGAGAAGTTTCTAGTGTTTGCACACCATAAGGTGGTCCTGGATGCAATTGTAAAGGAGCTTGAGAGGAAGGTAAGCCCCCTCTGACGTTCAGGGTAGAGTCTCGGCTTCTGCTGTTTGTTCTGCGGAGCACTGGGCCAGGACTGCACAGAAGTGAGGCCGTGGTTTCTAGAAACCACGTGAAGGCCTCTTGAGGAGTCGTCACTTGGGACCCACAGGATTCCCACAGCTGGCGTTCTAGCGTACTCCCTGCGTAAGCAGAGGTCTTGGTTTACGAGTGTCTCCAGGGACTCGTCCGTTCTCTGCGTTCATAAAACAACTAGCCTGCCAGGAAATGGTAATGTGTCTGTGTGAGTGTCCTCCTCACTGCTGTCCAGGTGCCTTTCGTTTGCACGGCCCTGTGCCAGGCTTTCCAGTGCCATTCGGTGGACCTTGGTAGAGTGAGTAGAAGCTATCTGAGGAAGTCCCAAGGATGGTCGTTAGAACGAAACACCTACACCTTCACTCCCTCTCACTTTTGCTTTAGTGTAGGACCATAAATTGTCTTTATCTTCCTTCACTACCTGCGCTTCTGTTTAAGGGATATAGAGTAAAGTAGCACCTGTGGATCTCCCACTCCATTTGCTAAGGAAGTTTCTCGATGTTAGTTTCAAGACTTAGGGTTTTTTTTTTTTGTTTTATTTTTAAGATTTGTTTAGTTTTTAATTATGTATATGTGTGTGAGTGCCCATGAGGCCAACGGTGTCCCTGGAGGCTAGAGTTTTGTTTGAGACAGGGTTTCTCTGTGAAACAGTCATTGCTGTCCTGAAACTCGTTCGTTCTATTAACGACTCTGCCTCCCATGTGCTGGGATTCAAGGTGTGCACTACCACCACCACCGCCCAGCCTAAATGGCCTTAATGATAAAAACCCGGAGTCAGGTATTAGTGGGTGAAAGCTGAGAGATCAGAGAAGAGCAGAGCAGTCAGCCACTAGGGAAACCTTTTACCTCTACCAAATCTCACCCCAAAGGAATGAACATGTCCTCAGACTGACTGCATCCTCAGACTGCAACTGTCTCCTGTCTCCTCCAGCCCTATGTTCTTCTCTCTGCTCAACCATATCCTGTTCCCACCTCCCTAGTGCTGGAATTAAAGGCGTGGGATCCCAAATGCTGGGATCACCTTTGTGTGAGCTCTGTTTCTCTTTTAGACAGATTCAATCTCGCCGTAGCCCAGGGTGGGCTCTGTCTCCCACTTCCTGGGATTAAAGGTGTGTGCCGTGACTCCCTGGCCTCTAGTGGCTTAGCTCTGCACTCCCATCTTCAGGCAAGCTTTATTTGTTAAAACACAAACAAAAGATCACTACAGTCTATTGTTTCTTCTGATTGTATGTGATTAAACAATTGTGTCAGTCCAGCCTTCAGTTTCATAAAAGTTATATAAAGGGAGGCAGAGGGTTGGGGAGCGGAGTGGTTCTGTCTGTGGGCCCTACCTAGACACGAGACGAGCTGGCTCTGCAGCCCGAGTGCCTTTGCAGCTCACCTCAGTTTCCCCCATTGTCTACAGAAAGTTCAGAACATCCGAATTGACGGCTCCACCCCTTCAGCAGACCGTGAGGATCTGTGCCAGCAGTTCCAGCTGTCCAGAGGGCACTCAGTGGCCGTGCTGTCCATCACTGCCGCCAATATGGGCCTCACCTTCTCCTCAGCTGATCTGGTGGTGTTTGCTGAGCTGTTCTGGAACCCAGGGGTAAGGGATCTCACTTGACTGGAATCCTCCTGGACATGCATGCTCGGGGCTGAGAAATACAAGGGCCCTAAATGAATGGTAGAAGACATGTTCTTGGGGCTGGGGAGATAGTCAGTAGTTAAGAACACTAGCTATTCTTCCAGAGGACCCGGGTTCAATTCCCAGCACCCAAATGGTGGCTCAGAACCGTCTGTAACTCCAGTCCCAGGCTGTATATTCTGGCCTCTTTGGATACCAGGTACACATTATAGTGCACATACATGCACGGAAAACATTCATATACATAAAGATAAATACATTTTTAAAAGATGGCATTTTCTGCCCGCGTTCCCTTGCACTGGGTCCTGTCTGTGTTTGTTCCCTCCCGTCTTTGCGCCTGCTGCTCTTCGGTCCTATTCGAGCACCGGAAGTCTGCAGGCCAGTTCTCAGGGCTTCCCTGCACCCTGGGGGACCACTGACTCTGTCTCACTGAGGGGCCGTCCTGGAAGAGTGAGCTGTGAGCAAAGGGGCACAGAGCGCCCACGTGCAGATCCAGGAATGTGCAGCTCACCCTTCAGAGGAGCTCACCTGGGCTACCTTTGTTAACTGTCCCTGTGAGCTGTTTGCCTGTGGGGGCCTCAGGGACAATGACAACACCAGGTGTCCTTGACTTGACTGATAGCTGAGGGCCATGGTGGCAGATCTAAGACTCATAAAATTTCTCCCAAGTCTCAGAAAAAAAAAGTTATTTTCCTTCTAATTTTCTGACGTGTTGCTTTTACTGGCTACATATCAGCCACTGCTTTAATGATGGGAAGACTCCAAGGTTGAGACCTCTCATAAATCAGAGTCCTGGTTTTAGTTATTATGGGACTTACCAGCATATGAACACAAACACCCCAATCATCATGTGGTAAATATCACATCCCTTTTCTGGGTGTGATATTTATTTGGAATATTATTATGTGATAGGTATTTAGAAAATAACTTATAAAATGTATCTAAAATTTTAGTGTATGATTATTTTGCTTACATGTATGTCAGTGTATCACGTGCATGCCAGGTGTCCTAAGAGGTCAGAAGAGGGCATCCCATTCCCTGAAACTGAGTTGTATTGTAGATGATTGTGAACCACCAGGTCCTCTGCAAGAACAATTGCTCTTAACCGCCGAGTCACCTCTGCAGCCCCCGGAAGATAACTTGATTTTTCAGAGATAAGAAGTGGTGTGTGCCATGCTTCTGCCTTTGCCCCTCAGCACACAGACTAGAAGCAGAGCCTCTGTGCGTGTTTGACTCACAAGCTCTGGCATTTCTGCTGTAGATACCAGGTCCTGAGGTTTGTTTGAGTTTCTCTCAGTTTTTCATGAGGTAGGGAAATGCTTTCTAGAGGAAACTCAGTGGGGCTGGATGGCCCGATGCCCCTCACTGTGGTGGGATGGGGCTTCCTAAGGCCTTTTCTGTGTGTTTCCTGGACACACAGGTGCTGATCCAGGCCGAGGACCGCGTACACCGCATTGGACAGACGAGCTCTGTGGGCATTCACTACCTGGTGGCAAAAGGCACCGCAGATGACTACCTTTGGTATGCCTGGGCGGGCGGCCTGGGCGGCTGAGCTGAGTAACTCAAGAGTGTGGTTTCTTTGCTTCCTCAGTACTCACACTTTTGCTGAGACCAATTAGTGATGCTTCCTGCTTCCCATGATGCGTTTGTCTTCATCACTAGCGTTCTTTGGAGACTTGCAGGGTATGAGGAAAAAACCAGTAAGAATAAAGGGAGGAGACTCTTCCCACTGCTCCAAGAGGGAGAGGAACCTAGATTTCAGATGGAGTTTAGTGTAAGAAACATCTGTTCCCAGCTGAGACTTCTGGCTTGTTAGGATGGGGACAGTGTTCTTTCCTCTTTCTTTCTTTTTTTTTTTTTAATATTTATTTATTTATTTAGTATACAATAGTCTGTCTGTGTGTATGCCTGCAAGGCAGAAGAGAGCACCAGACCCCATTACAGATGGTTGTGAGCCACCATGTGGTTACTGGGAATTGAACTCAGGACCTTTGGAAGAGCAGGCAATGCTCTTAACCTCTGAGCCATCTCTCCAGCCCCTCCTCTTTCTTGATATGTGGTATGATGGTCACCTCTTTCGAGAAGAAAGTGGCTCGTCCTGAACCACATGGTGCTTCATGGCAGGACTTCAGCCCCTCTTTCTGTTGTTTGTTTTCTGTGATATGGAGGATTGAGCACAGGGCCTCATAGACTAAGCTTTAGCACCCAACTCTTTTTTCTTGTTCATTTTGAGATACGGTCTCACTGAGTGGCCCAAGCTGGCCTTGAAAGTCCCTCTGAGGCCCAGGAAAGTCTTAAACTTTTGATCCTTTGGCTTCGGACTCTTTTTTTCTTCCCCCTTTGGTTTTTTTAAGATAGGGTTTCTCTGTGTTGCTCTTACTGTCCTGGAACTTACTTTGTAGACCAGGCTGGCCTTGAACTCACAGAGATTGCCTGGTTCTGCCTCCAGTGTTGGGATTAAAGGTGTGCACCACTATACCCAGCTCAGCCTCGGATTCTTGTGGTGCTGAAATTACATATCTGCTCCACCAGGCCTTGTGGGTCACATTTCAACCCTTGGAATTGTGTCTGTCATCTAAGTAAAAGCTCTCCAGATTCTTTGTCAGTCCCTCACTCATCCTGATGTGAAGTCCTCCAGTATCCCACTAGTGCCCGTTCTCTGGGTTCAGCCCCGCGCATGAGACACCTGACTCTGCAGTGCAGGTTTATCTGTCTGTGAGGGATTGAGCAAACTTGCATTATTACTGTAGTGAAACAGGATTTATTTCCTAGGCCTCTTGTGCTAGAGAGGATTTTGAACCCGGTTTTATGAGCACAGATAGGATTGTTTCTGATTGGGACAGGGCAAGTATTTCAGGAAGGACTGAGAGGATGGTGTTACAGTCCCAGGCCCGTGAGGATGGTGTTACAGTCACAGTCCCGTGAGGATGGTGTTACAGTCACAGTCCCGTGAGGATGGTGTTACTGTTTCACCACAGTCCCGTGAGGATGGTGTTACAGTCACAGTCCTGTGAGGATGACGGATCCTCATTTAGTCAGCCTTCAGGTTCGAGGTATGTTGTTCTCACTGCATCTCATTTCTACCCCACAGGCCTCTGATTCAGGAGAAGATTAAAGTGCTGGGGGAAGCCGGGCTTTCTGAGACCAATTTCTCAGAGATGACAGAAGCTACTGATTACCTCTACAAGGTAATGCCAGCACATGACTCCTCACCACTATATGAAGTGAGGCAGTGAGCTGGTCCTTCAGCCCTGGAGCTGGAAGGAAGGGCGGGCCTGCAGTCATTGTGAGTCATTGTGTGTGTGTGTGTGTGTGTGTGTGTGTGTGTGTGTGTGTGTGTATGTCTGTGTGTCCCTAGTGAGGAATGCTGGCAGTAACTCCTGCTGCTTCTCACACGCCCTAAAGGCTACAAATCCAAGGCTGAGTTGCTGTCTCTTTCATCAGACCTGGAGAAAAAGCAGAAGAACTGCTCATGACAACTGTTAGGTTGTCTCCATAAGTACGATAGCAATGCCAGTCATGTAGCGGGCCACCACAGAACTGTCACACAGGCATGTGGCATATGAAGTCTTCCCACCTCAACCCACTATTCCTCTGTAGTGTCCGCTCATAAAAAAGTCTGAGAGACCAGAGAACACCCTCCCGTGACTCTATCAGAGTATTCTATCCCGAACTCTTATCACAGGTGCCAAAAAGAGGCTTCTTGGCCCCGGAGAGGATGGAGCCACCATGCCTGGCTACATGACTTGGTCCTGGAAACCTAACTGGGGTGACTAGGGAATAGAGAAAGGACAGATACACAGACACATACAGAAAACTGGCTCAGGTGGGCCGTGCTCACTCTGCCAGAAGCAGTACCTGTTACAAGACAAGCCAAACCTCATGGTGTTTATTGTGTATAGCATGAGAAGGGGCTAGCTCATATCGGTGGGAGCCTGTGTGAGGAGCAGCCCCAGGTTCCACTCATCCCGGAGAGGAGCTGCAGCTGCTGTCTGCACACACCGGTCTGTGTTTGGGAACACTTGAACTTGGGTACACTGCACACACCGGTCTGTGCTTGTGAGCACTTGGACTTGTGTATGCTGCACACACTGGTGTGAGCACTTGGACTTGTGTGCACTGCACACACCGGTCTGTGCTTGTGAGCACTTGGACTTGCATACACTGTTGAGCATTCACACTCAGATCCGAGGAAGGTTTTGCCATCCCCCTGAGCCTCACCCGTGTGGAGGAAGCGTTGCCATTTCCGTGAGTTCTCATTATAGCCATGACCACATCACAAATACACACTCACTCAGGACTTCATCTCCTCCTTTCCATTTACCCAGTGCTTCTTCAGCTCTCTTTGAATGACGTGCTGCAGAGCATGTGGCGAAGACTTTAAAGTCTGGCTTCTGATCACTCATTTATTTTTAAAAAAATCCACCTGTGTGTGTTAGTCTCTGTCGCCCAGGCAGATCTTAAATTCAAGGTCTTCCTGTCCAGGTATTCTGAGAGCTTGCAGATTATAGGCCTGAGAGTCCACTTTCAAGAGATCATATTTTTTAGTAAGTTATACTTTTAGACAAAAACAGCAACTAAGATAGCATGAAGACAGCCTCACCTTTGCGCTGTGAGGGCACTGTGATTCAGCTAGTGGTGGCTGTGCTAAGCTAATAGTGACCTTAGAGACGAAGGAGGCTGGTTTTGGTCTGGTTTGGTTTGGTTTTTCAAGACAGGGTTTCTCTGTGTAGCCCTGGCTGTCCTGTAGCTTGCTCTATAGACCAGGCTGGCCTTGTACTCAGAGATCTGCCTGCCTTCACCTCCCAAGTGCTGGGATTAAAGGCGTGCACCACCTGGCCCAGCTAAAAGAGGCTACTTCTAAAGGAGTCTCATCAAACCTTTTTCTCATCCTGGCCTTTCCCTCAGAAACTTTGAATCCATCAAAACTGTCTGCCGAAAGTACACGTGCAGATGCTGTAAATGAGATTTATCAGCATTTATTTGATTAAAACTGTATCAGCTTGCCTATTTTTACTAAGACGGGGGTTGAGAATTCCATCAGCAACTGGAAAAAGAAAACCGCTACCTCCTTCATGGAGACAAAAACAAAAGGAGTTTGTGTTCGGTTTTACAGCCTTCCTTCCAAGAGGGGAAACAAAGGAATAAGCTGATCTTGGAGCTTACTTCCAGTTAGCTATGTGTGCTCCTGGTTTGTGACTGGCATCACCCTCATAATCAAATGGGCGCGAGCAGGTGTTTCTGCTGCACTGGCCTGCCTTGGGTTTGCAGCGTTTCCTTGACCAAGGGCGGGTGAGTACCTCCTCTGGGAGGACAGGTAGAGCATATTAAATTCAACCTCAATGGTCTTTCTTATCACTTCCTGTTCTGAAAGGCTGGGACCCTGGGGCACAGGCTAATGGAATAGTCTGGAGTTTTTACACGTCCTGCTCCCCCTGATCAGTGTTCAAGGAAGGTCATCAGTGTTGAGGAATTCTGTTAGGAAATAGTGACTAGTTAGGTTGAGACCTAATTGCGGAGAGCCAGAAAGCCTGGGAAGGGAAGCATCTTAGGCTTGAGGTGGACACGGGAGAGCCCATGACACAACAAAGGAATCTTGTTAAAGGATTGCACGGGTTGATGCAGATGCCAAGAAGCCTGAGGCAGAAATGCAGTCGAGCTATTGCAGTCTTTCATATACTAGGAGCTATGGCTGCAAGTTATGAGTAACTTGGGGGCTGGGTAGATGGCTCAAGAGTTAAGACTGCTTATTGCGCTTCCAAAAGACCAAAGTTCGGTTCTCAGCATCACACTGGATACTCAGAACTGCCTATGACTCCAGCTTCAGGAGATCTGATGTCTTCCTTTGGCCTCCTTAGGCACCCATATACATGGCATATGAACACACATTCACATAAATATTTTTTTAAGTGACTTGATAAGAAAAAGTGATGGAAGGTGTTATTAATTATAAATGCCCAGCCAATAGCTCAGGCTTGTTATTAGCTAACTCTTACATTTTCAGTTAACCCATATTTCTTATCTATGCTTCGCCACAAGACTCAGTACCTTTTCTCAGTCGGCATGCCTGTCTTGCTTCTCTCTGTATCTGCTGGCAACTCCAGACTCAGCCCTTCTTCTTCCCAGTCCTTAGTTTGGTTGTCCCACCTATACTTCCTGCCTTACTACTGGCCAATCAGCTTTTTACTAACAGTGAGAGCAGCACATTTTCAGAGTGTACAGGATTATTCCACAGCAGGCAGGAATAAATCTGTTGAGCCAAAGACTTGAGACATACTGGGAATTTCAAGAAGAGGGATTATGAAAATGCTGGTAGATTTATAAAGCAGGGAGAGAAGCTCTATTGGGGATATAGGAATTAGATGAAAGTATATTCATCACTGTGTGTATGTGTGTCTGCCTGTCTGTCCTGTTCATATGCATGGGCCATGGCACACAAGTGTAGGTCAGAGAACGACCATAGGAGTTGGTTCTTGCCTTCTGTCATGTGCAGTTGCCACATCACAGGTCTAGCAACAAGCATTTTCACACCTGAGCCACCTCCCTGGCTTAGCATTTGATATTGAACAGTTTCACGACCCTGTGGGTTTCCACAGTGATGTCAGCAGTGTACTCCTAGACCATGAGATGTCAGCATTAAGAGTTTAGACTCAGGAGTGCCGAAAAGAGGGGTGATGTCACACGTCACTGTCACACGTCATGGTTGTCACTGCTGGGCCTGGCTTCAACGTTGCCAACAAGGGACAGGCACAGTGGTGTGCATTTTGAGCATCTGTAGCTTTAACATCCAGGTCTCCTGGAAGATGAGGTATAGTGTGTCATGGAAGACAAGTTACAGTTGAACTAACTTCCATTTAGAAGGACTTGTGTTGAGGAGGAAATAGAATTACTGCAGCTCCTGTGATATTGAAGTGTGGGTATGGAAAACAAGGATAGGAAATCATCCCAGCACAAATCTTCCTGTGAGAGCAGCCTCTTTGTCGCCCATGAGCAGCAGAGACAACATGGGGAAGGTGGACATCTCTTCAGGCTACTGGTTTCCTGCCGAGGTTCCCTGGTTAAATAAAATGTGCCACCTCTCACCTCAGCATGGCCGTGAGGGTTATAACGCGTTAGGACTAGCTTCTTCCTTTACATTTTTTTCTTTTTCCTAATAAAGGACCCGAAGCAGAAGATGATCTATGACCTCTTCCAGCAGTCCTTTGAAGAAGACGGAAATGACATGGAACTCCTGGAGGCAGCAGAGTCCTTTGACCCAGGAAGTACTTCTGGAAGTAGTTCCCAGGATCTGGGAGACCTACTGGATGAAGGCAGCTTGACAGACAGTCCACCAAGCAAAAGGAGATTTGAGTTTTTTGATAATTGGGACAGCTTTACCTCTCCATTTTAAAAGGGTCAAAGAAAAGAAAAAAATGAAAGGAAGCATTCAGAAATCATGGGATTCATTGAAATAAAGTGTTTTGTTTAAAAGCCCGTGTTCCTTGTGCCATGCGGCAGAAGAGTCCAAGGCCGAAGGTACCCGCATGGCCTCCACTGTTCCTAGATGGACCTCCTTGGGGACTTGATTACCTGTAGCTTTTCTGAACTAGAGGAGACAGTGGCTCGGTGCTGTGGGTATTCACCAGAGAAGACTGCTTGGACTCAGCCAGGAGAAAGTGTTAGCCAGCCAGCAATTACCCTGGGTGCTGCCAGTGTGGCCCCAGGCCTTTCTGAGATGAGCTTTAAGCATAAAAACAAACAAACAAACAAACAAACAAATGTGATCTGGGTTGATAGACTTCTGGCTGCTCTTGTTAACAAGAGCAGCCAGAAACTGAATTGTAGACGCTAAAAACCAAGGTTAATACATTTACAGACTTTTCCAGAACTGTATGGACTGATGGATTAGGTCTTTGTTTTAGTTTTGGCAGGTGGTGGAGTCTACGGGAAGTGTTTACAGCCTGAATGGCATTTCCTTCTGGAGTCAGTTGTGCTAAGGTCTGAGGGCCTGCTAAGATCTTGGCCCTGTTACAATAGTAGTCATAATTTGCATTCCTAAATATTGAGGTACTTCCTATCATAACCCCCTTTAGTTAAAGATTTCAACAACTTGGGCTGGAGAGATAGCTCAGGGGTTAAGAGCGCTAGCTGTTCTTCCAGAGGTCCTGAGTTCAACTCCCAGCAACCACATGGTGGCTCACAAGTATTTATGTTAGGACCTGATGCCCTCTTCTGGCATGTAGATATACATCCAGAGCACTGATACATAAAATATAAATAAATAAAAAATTTCCACAACTACAAATATTTATTAAACACATTATAGAGTGCCAGGCACTCTTCAAGGTAGTAACTTGCTAAGCCAAAGAAAAGCACATGCCTTTGTGGGCTTTATCCAGCAGGAGAAGCAGCATTTCCCAATACGTTCCATTTATAGACACAAATACAACTTTGATTTTTCTGTCATAAACCTATTTTGACTTTTAAAACCATTGTAAGTGAAAGACACTCCGAGGTCACTGACGCACCGAAATGGGTGGCGGGTGGAGGCCGTACATGGCCCACAGTTTGCGGGCCTCTGGCTGAGCAACATAATCCAGTAATATAAATCACATACTGTGATTTTAACGTTTCTAACAGGTTTAGATTTAGAAACAAAATTGATGTATTTCTCCTAAGACAGCCAACATATTAACATAAGAACTTGTGATTTTTTTCCTTTAAGTCCATTTATGTATTTGATTACATTTATTGATTCACAAATATTGAACCATTCTTACACATAAGGGATAAAACCAACTTTATCTCAATGTACTATTTACAAACTTTGGACTGGAGGGGGAGGGGAGGGAAAAGAGAGGTAGGGATGAGGCGAAAATTTTTAATTAAAAAAATTTAATAAAAAAGGAAAAAAATAATAAAAAAGGAAAAAAAGATATAGATACAACAACAAAAAAAAATGTAAGTTGAAATCCCTGATGAACATAGACTCAAAAATATTCACTAAAATGTTTGTAAATAGAACTTGTGATTTTTTTTTTTTTTTTTTTTGGTTTTTCGAGACAGGGTTTCTCTGTGGTTTTGGAGCCTGTCCTGGAACTAGCTCTTGTAGACCAGGCTGGTCTCAGACTCACAGAGATCCGCCTGCCTCTGCCTCCCGAGTGCTGGGATTAAAGGCGTGCGCCACCACCGCCCGGCGACTTTGTGATATTTTGAAGTGGGCATGATGACATAAACCTTTAATCCCAGCACTCAGGAGGCAGAGGTGGGGAGTGGGGAAACTCCCGTGAGTTCCAGGACATCCAGGGTGGTTACACAGAGAAACTCTCTCTCAAAAAACAAAACAAAACAAAAAAAAAACAACTTGCATTTTCAGACAGGGTTTCATGTATCCCAAGCTTGTCTCAAACTTGCTACATAGTCAAAGGTAACCTTAAACTTCTGATCCTCCCTGGTGCTGGTTATGGGCCCCCTTCCCTACCCATCCAGTTCATTAATGGAGACAGCAATCGCTCCATTAGGGAAAAGACTTTGGAACGCATTAAGGAACAGGAAATAGAGGGTTTTTGTGTTTGTTTTGAGAAGCCTGGGAAAGGAACATTTCTTTATAACCCACTTCTACACCCATCTGCAGTCTCTGCTGGGTGTGTTTGGTGTCATAAGCTTTAAGAAACCTCAGGGAGCCCTGCCCCATGACCTGAGGCCGTCTCCAGAGGCCTCAGACCCAATAAAAAAAGGAGAAACACAGTTTGAAACTGCTCCTTATTTTGCAAAGTGTATACATCAAGTCTGGGCCTATGTCTACCCCTCCTTCCACTTCTCCCCAGGTCAGTCCAGCAATATCATCAAGAGCAGCTTGGAAGGGGTTAATTGGAACAGTCTAAAATACCTGTTTTGATTTTCTTTTCAAATCTCAGCATCTCAGGGAGGGAACTAACTTCAGTGAGTGGCATAATGAAGCCTTAGTCGGCCTCTAGGGTACTGTGGCAGCCGGCAGTTGCTTGGTTTGGCAGCATTCTCTGTCCATGTTTCCCTTCTGCTCCCAGTCAACTGGTTTTATTATCAGCCACTTTTCAACCCTTTAATTCAGAGGGTGAAATACACAAAAAGTTCTTCACTTTGCAGCTTAACGGAGATAAACACTTGTGCAGGCACAAGCCCAACGTTACACTGTCTAGAAGCATTGTTGTTTTGCCTTTAATGTTGGTCCTTATCCACCAAGGGTGGGATAGGTCAAGGTTAATTTTTCTTGGATGGTGATGCAGCTGTTCTCAGCACCACATATTAAAAGACTGTCCTTTCAGCTGTGACTTTGTGGGGACATTTATTCACTACTATATATTTAATATAAAATGACTCTAGAAATGTACATTATAAGTGAAAAAGCGAAAGTCCTGTATTCCCCCTCACTCCTATGCTACTACTTCTAAAAGGTAATAACTAATATAATTTGAGATGGGAACATTTGTAATTTATTCTGAATATACCTAAAACTTTTTAAAAAATTGTGCCAAACTTGTCATAGCAAAGTGGTTCATTTCATATGATGCACTTGTCCGCTGTTTCAGGTTGGTCTGCCCTCTGTCTCTTTGAGAGTGACCTATGATCCTGCCAGATCCTTGGTCTCGGCCCTTTCACAAAAGCTGGGTGATTTTTAAGTGAATTGAAGGAGTTACTAAAGGAAGGAAAGGATGTGTGTGTGTGTGTGTGTGTGTGAGAGAGAGAGAGAGAGAGAGAATCCATTTTGGACGTGTTGATTCTCAGTGTCCTTTGTAGCTATGGAGGCCTTCGAGGATTCTAGACAGTCCTGGGACTCTGGGATAAGCCCTTTAGAGCTCTGTCATGAGACAAACTTGTGCTCCAGATTTCATATAAAGAAAGAATACAATGTTACCTGTGCCCCACGAGAACCGCTTGGCTCAACAGCCAAAAGGATCCCTCTCTGGACACGACTTTTAGTTAATGACTTTAGAGGTGAAAGGTGCACTTGGACGGAGTGCTTCTGAAGAATGATGGGCTGATTCAGGAAAGACTTTTACCAAGACTTGAATGGGAGCACGATGCGGTGAGCATCTATAACTCAGGGTCCTCTAATGGGATGGGAATTTGTCCATAAATAAGACAAATTGAGACTTTATGAGAGGCACAATTTTCTGCAGTCACTTAGAGCCGATTTTATGAGAGACTATTTGTATGTCTCTCCTCGAGCCTGCTATTTAGAGAGAATTGTTCGGTTTGATGGAATCGCTCTGAGCGTGAACAATTCCCTCCCATTAGGAAGTGTCTCGTTTCAGTATCTGGGTCATATACTTACTCATGCTCTGTCTTCCGCCCTGACCCCAGCAGACCAGAGGCTGTGCCAGGGGAGGCAGTGAATTTGCAGAATGGTGATCCAGGTTAAACCAGAGCCAGAATAAAGAGTTCACTCAGCATGGCTAAAACTGCCTCAGCCCATACCCACCCAGCCACCACTAGGCACAAGTTATGCCTGCCTGGGAAGTCCAGACGGGACAGGAAGGTCGTCGCAGGTAATTGTTTCTGCACACTGCAGCCACCAAACATCGATCCCATTTGCACTAACACAAATAGGGTTTGTTGTGCAGCTTTCGCAAGCAGCCAGTTTACATGGAGAGGTTTCCAGTGTTACCTTGGTCCCCTTCTGGAAAGAAGCATCTGCCCCTGTGGTCTCTGCTATTCGTCCATCCTAAGGGTGCAAAAGGGATGCTGAGCCTGGCAAGGAACAGAGATGCACGAAGCACATTCCTACCCCTGTACAGGCCTCAGGTGATAGTCGCTGTGACTGTGGTTGATTTATTGTGCCCAAGCTAAAGAAATATAGGAGAATAGAAGGCAAATCCTGGAGCAGGGCAGAGAGAAGACAAGATTGAAAGGCCAGGCAGCAGCATCTCCATGGTACCATCACCACCATAGAGAACTCATGGCTGCTGGACACTTCCAGCTTATTTCATCTTCCCCCTATGGGGTGGATGGTATTCTGTACAGCAGAGGAGGCAAAACCAATGATCTGAGTTTTCAAATACAGTGGGAAGTCTGGAAGTCATTGACTGGCTGTGTAACTTCAGGCAGATCATGTGGTCTCTCTGAACCTTAGTTTCTGGCTTGTCTAGAACACCCCGCCCCCATCCTACCCGGTTCTAGAGTGAGTGGATCCACCTTGGAAGGCAAGGAAATCCAAACTCGCAAAAATCTTTAGAGACCTATCACAGGATCTGTAAGCAAACAGGTCCCAGTCAGCAAAGTCTTCTTATCCTTGACGTTCCAGGCCTTGTGTTAGCTCTGCCCTCATTTGTTATGGTGCGGCTGAATGGTGTGGTTTCAAGTAGACTTTATGTTTCTAGAACTGCTTGGGATTTATAGGAAACTGATGAAGTTGTGCAGATATTTTTGTATATCTTTTCACTAATCGATGAACCTATAGTGATAGTTTAATTGGTTTAACTCCACAGTTTACTCAGATTTGGTTTTCACAA